TTGATGAATTCTTTGGCTAAGAAAGTACCTAAGCAGTAGCTTTCTAGAGTTTGAATACTTGTGGTGAATGAAATACCACTCAATACAGATACAATACAAATACAGAAAACTGGATTAAATTGATCCCTGTGCAGACTTTGGTGCAGACTTCCTCAGGTTTCTACTGTAAGGTGTTCTAGTGGCTGTAAGCATGCAAACATGAAGATAAACACGTGACTTACAGGAGTGAGAGGTTTTAAAGACCAGCTTTACCATAGATTAGGTAAGATACTCAGAAAACAATAGAGTGAAGTGAGAATAAATTGAAGTGGGAATAATATATATATATATTTTAAAAGCACTTCTGTTAAGTGTTAAAAGCTCAGATCTTGAAAGGTCCTGATTATTTTCAGAAATTCATTGCTCAATTACTCAACCTGTTGGTACTAAACTCAGCTTTTTTAAAAATTTCTTTAAAATGTTGTCTGATGGGAGTTTTGTTCACCTCTGTAGATTACTCATTAAAAATATTGTCAATGACAAAAGCCAATATCTTTTGGAAGGTACCTCAAATAGTTTGTCTATGCGCTATGTCATTAAACGCATGTCATCAGATGGTAGATACTACAGTACTCTGCTCTGTAGAAATACAAACCTAGGAGTTGGACTTGATGATCGTTGTTGGGTCCCTTCCAACTCAGGATATTCTATGATTCTATGAAACCTGAAGACAGAAATTGCTGATTACTTGAGGATTAAATCCTTTCAGCATATTAAAATGCAGGGCAGAAATGCACCTTAACATCAGATGTGCCCCCTGTACCTAGAAGAACTCTGAAATCTATTTCAGGTGGAAGCTAGGCAAGATTTATTTATTTTTCTTTACCTTTAATAGCATAATAGCACTGTGGGAGGCTAGCTCCTGTTGTGGAAGGCAGTCAGTACCTTGCAGGTTCACACCTATCAGCTGAACTTTGATTTGAACTAAACTGAACTTTGATTTTCATATTGCTATCAGCATGAACAGAAAGATCTCTTGGAGGAGTTGTAATTGGACGCGTGTAAAGGAAGTTAAAGCTCTAAATCCTGAGGCCTTAATAATTAGCATGTACTGCTGTCAGCATTGCTATCAGTTACATTGATGGCAAGATAGCAAGTGTCGACTATCTTTAATTGCATCAGGTCAGTAGTTTTTATCTCCAGTTAAGCAGAATAGAGATTGTTTTATGTACTCCTAAATGATCCTTTTAAGGCCCCTTTATAAAAATGTCCCATCTGGGTGTGTCTGTGGTGGTATAGATCTTTTTATTTCAGTCCTCATAAAAAGGTAGTGAGCAGGCAAATTATAGTTATGGCCACAGAGCAGGCTTGAAAGGAAAGCATGACATTTTCAGAGGAGAAGTAGTCCTGTGCATCACTGTTCAAATGAACACTTAATAATTCATAACAATTAACTGCTTTATAAATTTCCTCTTCAATACGTTTCCAAATGTGAATAGATTAAACAGTAATTGCTATCAAGCTTTATGTTCTATTTCATGTTCCTAATAAAAGTTTATCTCATGGAGCTTCCTTTGTATATTTTTGATCTACTCCTAACTGAGTGCAATATACTGTATTAAAATATTTATCATTGTGCTATCAAATATTAACCATTTTAAAATAATCTGACTAAAGAAAACAAATAATGCTACTTGTTTAACTTTTTATGAATTTCCTAGTATTTAGTTATTCAGAATGCTCCCGTGACACGGCACCAAAAATACTGAAGTATCTGCAAATCACATTGCCTCTTACTGTTGCGAATTGGGCTCTGATCATGTCTATCACTATTGTTCATTTTGGCTTTACACATAGAAAAACAGTTCTTCAGTCTGTAAAAAGTTACTATACCACCTCAGTACAAGCAGATCTTAGAGGTTTGTGTTATTCTATAGGCTAGGTGTTTTTCTGGGAGGAGTACAGAACAGTTTTGATTTGTTTTTAAGGAAATTTCCCTAATTATCCACCTGCTTGTTCTTAAATTGTGTAGCTTTGTCTGGTGCAAATGCCAACAGCTTGTTAGAGTATAACGTGAATGATTTAATGAAGGAAAGAGGGGATGCTCATCCCCCATTTCCCTAGCATGTGCTGTACTGCAGGGCCGCCTAGTGCAGCCTCACCTGGCTGCAGGATCACATCATGCCCCAGCCCAGGGGGTGAGGCCCTCCCTGGGTGCTCCTGCTTGTTCAACCCCTGGCTGAATCGTGTCACAGAACTAATGCAGAGGAAAATTTTCTTGTCTTAGTGTCCTGCTGAGTTTATTCTGAGGTGGTTCAGGAATGGGTCCAACAAGTGCCTGAGATGTTACTGGGGATGTGGGATTAAATAGCTGGTAACTGGGAGAAGGGGGATTGCTGCACCTGCAATTAAAGTAATTTAGGCAGCTGTGGAATAGCACCTTTGAAGCTGATACCTTGGCAAGATCACCAGGAGAACAACCTCTTTGCTCCAATCCAAGCTTTTACCTTGCTGGGGAAGAATTGTTCTTTTAAGGGTTACATGTGTCAGTGTTGCTTCTGAACAATTAATTTTCACGTTGGAGAAAGCAAATCTGATCACCAGGTTATCAGAATAAATCTCCTGAATTGAGGAGCTGGAGTCTGTTAAGAACCTAGTGCCTCTTAATAAGATGCTAACTTAGGCTAGCAACCCCCCTACCCTATGCCTCATTCTCTGTTTGTTTTATGATCCGCTATCCCTAGGGGCTTCCCCACACACAGGTGTTACCTAGCTCACAATCCTTTTTGTAGAAGCCTTCCTTGCAGCTCAGAGGCACCGAGATAACCTGCTTGAGCACTCCTGATGTCACTCTAGTCTATTCCCTTTGTAGGCTGCTCTCTTTTCACAACATTTGACAGGTTTTGAAGCAGGAGTACTAAAAGCAGCTTGAGGCTTGATCCCCAGTCTAGCCATTTTATGGTAACTCTGTAGATCTCTAAAATACCTATATGTAGACAGCATCCCATGCTTTTATTTTCTTCTCTATGCTCTTCACAGAGGAAAGGTGTTTCATTTAATTCTTTTTGTTAAATACAGTATTTCTGGTGTGGCATTTATTTATTTTAAAATATCCTCTCTGCAGGGAGATATCAGCCTTCTTTTTCTCCAAGTCCAGTATCTCGTTAAAAAAATATAATTCCATGACATTCATACTTGGATAGTAAAAACATTTTCTATGTATTGGTTTCTACGTATTGGTTGATCTGTATGGTTATTCTGTGGGCCGTGCGCTTTGGAATTAATGTGGATGTGCTTATTAACACATTGTTTCTGCAGGTTTAGAAGGCTCAGGCTCTCAGTATGGTGTTATGTGTACGGTAAGTCAGCGTGCTTCCACTGAGGGTAATGGAATCGGTGTTTTGAATCATCTGAGAATCAGGCTTGATAACACTGTAATTTTATTTGTAATTTTGCCTTGCTTGTCCTTACACCCGTGAGCTGTACTTTGCCTTGAGCTGAAGCAGAGGGATTCTGAATTGGTTTAAGGAGAATTATTCTGCATTTAAATTGGGAGTGGTTTGAAGCAGAGTCTGTTCCTCTGACATCCAAATCCCTATACACACACGATTTCTTTAGTCTGCATAACAATCATGTAAAACAGGTATTGGGAAAGCAGCATTTTATGTGTCGAGTCCAAGGGCAAATTGTTCCTTAGGGACTGCCATGTTCAACCCCATCAGAACTTCATATTTTTCAATAAATTCTTTCTGTTTTATTTTATTTCCCTCTGGCTCGAAGGGTGGCAGTGCACTTGCTAGCACCAGTCCTGGCACCAAAACAGACCAGAAGTAGAAGTCTATACTGCACCTGTGCAGAGGGGAAATCCCTTTTGTGGCCTGGCCACTGGTAAAAGGATGGAAAAAGGTATAAATGGATTGTCTGTGGCCCCATGCACAGGTGGTTGGAAAGGTGAACCGGAAAGCAGGGCTTTCTGGTTTTGAATTTGTTTCTTTTTACAGAATATAGTTCCCCACACACAAATTCGATGTGTAGGAATCGAAGGACAGATGCACCTGCATACAAACAAGTATAAAAGCTCACTAAGCTTCCAGGGGAGATACAATGGGAAGAGAGCATCACATTTACATACTTCATCTATCTAGAAAGAAGAATATGATGCATTTTAAGAAATGGAAGGAAATGCATCTTTTCTTGCTGAACTGTGAATGCAAATTTCCACAAGCAAATGTTACTGTAATTTGCAGGATCACAATTTCAGGTTTGATTTTCTTTGGAAATTCAATCTGCATGATTTTGATCAAATGCCTTGGGTTCTCACATTTGTAACATCACAAAATGCAGAAAAAGTGTATTTAATCATATAAGCCAAATGCACGCTGTAACAGAATATGAGCTATCTAACAGGCTGCAGAGCGACAAAAGTTCAGTCCAGATACAAGCACTGAGTGCAGCTTGAGCATTGAAGATAAGAGCGTAATTGTAATCCTCTGCCTGCTTTAATAATAATAAAAAAAAAAAAGCAAAAAAAAAAAAGAGGGTAAAATAAAAGAAACTATTCAGAGCTTGACATAAGGCATCTGACTGAAAACGTACTTGCTAATTGTTTAACATTTACACCATTGAAACAAGATGATTTAAAACAATGATTCACAGGAAATAACGTGCTGAATTTAACTGGGGTGCAAGCTACTGTTGGTAACACTTGTTCTCAGTCTAGGCTTTGTGGGGCTGCAGGACTGAAGGTTCAATCTCTGTATTTGCTCATTAACAATATGAAGGGAGCTAGTGAGTCATAGTAATCATTGGACTTTCCCTCACCTTTTTCCCCGGTGGATAATCATGCATAATGAAAATTAGAGCCATGCTGCTAAGCTGAGTTTGGCAAGAGTGGCACTTGCTCTTTGTCAGATTGAGTAAATATGTGGCTGTTTTTGGAATCAACTGTTGTGCAAGTGAAATTAAAAGGTGTTATTTTCAAACACTCCTGCATGTATAGAGCAGAGTTCAGTCACCAGAAATGTCATGGACAAGAAATATGAAAGATCCAATACTTCGAGTTGTACGCTTAGAAAATCGAATGAATGCTCTTGCATTATATTTTATCTTCATTTTTCAAACTCAGGCAGTTCTTATGTGTAAATGCTTCAACATTTTTTTTTTTTTTTTTTTTTTTTTTACAGGTTCCCCTTATCACAGAGCACTGTGTTCAGTTCAGGACTGGCCCAGAACAGCTGTAGTTGCTGGTTAAGTCTCTTCCTGGGTTTGGAGCTGTGTTTTCTGTTTCTACATTCATTTCTAAAGGAAATTGTTTAATTACTATAGCGTAGAAAAATGAAATACTGCTATGGAGTTCCTCCTGTTTCTGGAATTCTGAAAGAGTTTCAGGACCAGACTGCTCAGTTCATAATGCACTCCTTATGCTTTGATCTCGGTATGTGTGCTGGTGAGAAAACCATTGTGGGTATCTGGAAGGGAGGGGGAGAGCTAAACCCCAGCTGCTTCCCCTGCATGCTCGGTGCCTGCGGCGTGGATGGGTCCAGGGGGAGGGCTTAGAGGCACAGTTGCATCCATTCTGCCTCTTTTTCCTGAGGGCAGCAAACCTTCCTGTACCAACCAGACCCTGCTGACCACTATGTCTGTGCAGCACAAACCCTGAATTCAGTAAGATAACAGCTGTTATCATGGTGCTTTTTATCTGGGAGGCAAAGTCTAAAATTGCATCTGACCTCTGAATGCACAGAGACGCAAGTGATGAGCGCTCTGCCTAGATCCTCAAAGGTTTTAGATGAAATCAGTACGAGTGCAGTACCTAAATGAATACTTCTGAGGATAATAGCTTCTGTCTCTTTCGCCCAAGTGTGGTACAAGGTAGACTTCGAACAGTAATTTATCAAATGATATATTGTGAGCCTTCGAACACAACTGGACTTCCAGCATTGTTTTTCCCAAATGGGATTAGTAATACTGTAAACTAAGCCACTCCATTTACTAATGCAATCATACAAGTAATTAAACTAGCTATGGTATAGATTTAACTTACTTATTTATAGGTCAAGCTTCTGGTTGCCCTAGGTCAATGATGTTTAGCAACAAAGCTCCATAAAAATAGATTTTCTTAATAATGCCGATAGGCTTTGTGTGGCAACAAGTAAACAACCACACACTGATGTGCTTCGTGAGAATCCATCTTTGCATATATATATATTTCTGGGCAGCGCAAGCTCAAGGGAAACAAATCACAACCATACACTACATGTCCAGACAAATAATCTTTTCGTGCTTTGCTAAGGCAGAAGAATAAATTCTTATTTTTCCTGTATATATCAGGGTTTGCTTGGTTGTCCAGTCATTTGTTTAGATTTCAATGAAAAGATAACAGAGGTAAAATTGCTGTGCTACAAAATTAAATGAATTGGAATACCATTCCTCCATGGAAAGACTTGAAGCAAGATTTAAATCTCTGTGTGCTTGGTAAAACACGGCAATTTGGGGTCTGTTCCATAGAACTGACAACTGCATCTTGTTGTTTTTCTTTTAAATTTGATCAGATAATTTGATGGAACTTGGAGAATATCTGACAGTTACACAATCACATGGAGATTTGTTCATAAAATAACAACACAGGGACACTTAATTAGTTTTGTCAGCAAATAAAAAGGCACTAGCTTGCATTTCCAGGAACCGTCTAAAGGTTTTTCAAATATGCTGATTCAGCTAAAATCAGGCTTTTTATATGTTGGGCTCAAAAAATCCTAATTAGAAAAACATTATTGAGCTTATAATGTCCAAACCTGAGAAGACAGGAAATAGTTAATAAGTAATTACTTACTTTTACAGATTTAACAACCTGGTGTGTGTGTGTGTATAATATTTTATGACCGTACGATTCACTCCACGGATCTCCAGGCCTGTTCAATATCTCGGCTACTTAATATTTTATTTAAACTCATGATGCAGACATAAATGTTTGCTATGTTTTATTCAAATTCTGCTGCAGAGAATCATGTTGATTCCCTTCTTTTCAGTTTTTTGTCTTTTCTTTTTCCTTCCTGTTACTACCCGATCTCGATGTTTCGCAAATTCTAATGCTTATTTTGCTGGTACCTAGGGTAAGGTGCAGGGGAGGTGACAACCTCCTCCTACATAAGGGGTGCACAGGCAAAGCAAGATTCTGTGATTTCAGATGCTGTTTTTGGGATATATAGGGTCTGATTTTTCAAAATATTATTGACAGAGGACTTGGAGGTTTGAAAAGTACTTCACCTGCTTTCTGTTGGAACTGTATGTGCTCCGTGTTTTGTGAAACACAACTCAAGGGCAGGCACCCAGCAAATGGGAATGAAGTTAGCAACCACGCACAAAAAATACGGTTTAAACAACCTGCCCAAACACAGACAAGAGCTTTCTGGCAGAGGCAGAGAGAGTCCAGTTTTCTCAGGTAACATTTAGCTGCCTTGCCAATGCAACCTTCCTTTCTATTCATGTATGAGTTTAATGATAATTGATTAATTATTACAGTCTTTCTTGAAATTCTGCATTTGTTGGTTTTCAGACGTTTACTGAACTGTCACAAGCCCAGGTTTTCTATTTCAGACTATTCATTGTTTAGAGAGGAAGGGGTAATCTCCATCTTTATTGTTTCTTTAACTTATGTTTTAAAATTTACATTTGTTTTAGAGCATTTAGAGCATTTGCGTGGCTCTCTGGTCAATTTTATGTTTGGTTAATCAGTGTCAGTAATTACATTCTCTTGTGTTTCTCAGCCTTACAAATCTAAAGCAAGCTGTTAGAGGAATCTGTTTCATGTGTCTATGTGGAAGCATACAGAGAGGCAGGAAGAAAAAGGTTAAAGAAGAACATGAGAGGACACTTCAGAATTTCTCCAAGTAGGTGATCAAAGCAGTTATAAAGAATAAATCAGAATCTATTACAAAGGAAATTGGCAATAAAAGCCTAATCCTATATGTACTGGTGTGCTATTTCCACTCTTTTACAAGACCTGTTAACCAGAAAAGAATCTAAATATACAACTAAGCATTGAAACATCTGCTTCTAATAATATTTATACCAAATTTCAGCACCTATTTTTAAATAAGTATACTTTTAAAAAATTATCTTTAGCTTTTATGTGGTTTTCACTAATTGTAACAAGTAATGAGGTAGTGTCTTGCAGTTTTATTGTTCAGAGACATAGTTCTAACGTATGAAAGCACAGTTCAGTTACTCAAATAGGCTGAAGTTTAGTATAGAAAAAAGGAAACATGCAGAGAAATTACCTTCTGTCTTTCAGTAAGATTTTTCAAGTTAGAGTTAATATGCTGATGTTTTAGTACACAAGGCTACTTCACATGTGGCAAGGCACGCATATTTATGTATTTCAGTGGGAGCTCCTGCAGGTGTTATCAAGAGCAAGAGAGAGGACACCGAAAGTACATTAAAATTAATGGATGGAACAGTCAATCTACTGTCCTCATCTGGGAACCTCCATAAAGATTGGCAGTATGGCATTCTTACGGCTTGGAGAGGTTTTGCTCATTTTCTGCCCTTAGGTAGCTGCACATGATAGCATACAGACGCAGATGCAGCAAAGCTGCAGGAAAGGGGCAACTCTGAGTTACTTACGTTGACAGCCCAAGCTGTGCCAGATATATCCCGGCAGACATTTATCACATTTAGGCCCTGATGTTCCCTCCTTACACTCACAAAATCCTCTGTCATTACAGCGATCATGGACTGAACCAAAAGGGTTACAATAACAGTCTGCAGAAACAAGACAACACACACACACACTGGATTCAGGTCTACATAAGGTGATAATTCATTTAATACCAATAAAGGCTGCATTTCCAGTGTTAAAGGTAAAGGAAGACTGTCTATTAATGATATCTGAAGTAGTGAATATAATCACTATAGTCCATTTATTTGTTTGCATATATCATTTCAGGAAGAGACGTTTTATGATATGAAGAGATAAAGTAAACACAAAAGATGTGAAGGCGGAAGATACCGTGCTCTTTGAGAATAAGTGATTGTACCAGATTCTCTTCTGGTAAGAATGTTTTTGACAATTTAGTGAATGTTAGGAAAGCTTTGTATATCAATACATCATTAGGGTGAAATGTCTCACATCATTAAAATAGGCTTATTTATATTACTCAATATTTTTCTGAGTGCTGAATTGCTTTAGAGGGCTATATAAATGCACTTTACTTATTTCCAAGATAGTCTTCCTTTATAGTGAGGAGAAGTATAACCATTTATGTGGATATTTGCCATTAAACTGATGAGATTGTATTTAGCAGTGACATTAATAAACCTTTTACATATTCCACAATGATAAACTTGAGGTGAGCAGTAATGCAAAACTTATCAGAACTCGCTTGTTGCCATTTTCATTTCTCTCACCTCCCAGTGGGGGGATGGAAGATGTAATGAGGCTCTTTCCCTGATACTTATTTCCACATGTGTGTTGACCTAATTAAAGAATGATTTCCTCCCAGAACAGGTAAAGAATGATTTCCTCCCAGAACAGGTACTGTAAGGGAACGTGTTGTCTTCTTCAATTACAACACTTTTCTTTAACATGATTATAATATTCATGTTCAGTTTTGGATAACTAAACAAAGAAGACAAGACAGTAGCAAGCAGAGTTTAATTTCTGACATTCCTATTCATTTTTTTAATTTAAGTAGCCATATCTTGTTTGTATATAGACCCATGTAGACCCAGAGTAACTCCACTGTCAACTGAGACTGCAGACATGCTTACATTTTGGCAGCGTCTGATCTCTGCTGTTGTTGAAGGCAAAAGATAAATAAACCAATTCCTGATCTGGGCAACCTGCTGAGAATCTGGCTTTGTGTGTCTGTGAATTGGTGCGGCTTTGACTACCTTTGGAAATTGTTCCGTAGCATCAGGTTAAGCATGAGGTTAAAATTCAGTGATATTGTAAATGACAAAATGTAGTTGAACTTGGAAGTAAAATATTAAAAAATACAATGGAAAAACTGTAACAGGAAAAAACATTATCAGAAAGACATTTGTCATCTGTTGTATCAGTGTTTATTACCCATAAATTACAGATGACACTTTGAACATTTGGCATGCTGACGAAGAGTAGTTACCTTTGGCAAACGGAGTTCCACAATAATAATAGAGTCAATTAGATAGCAACATTCATTAATGAAGTTGAACGTTGACATGCCAAAAAGACTGTGCAAAATTGAGCATGATTATACCGCAGTGTGTGCCATTTGAAAAGCTGGCAATTCAGACGTGAATCGGATATATGAAATGTTTATGTAAATATGCATAGAGCAGAGAGACGTACTGAATGCAGGAAGTCAAATTTGTTTAGAGTGTTCATAGAAAATCTTGAAAGGCAAAAAGTCTGGAATTGCATTAGAAACAGCCAGTTCTTATACATCAAAAATAATTGGATATAATAGACCTACAATGATTTAAACAAGTGTTTATGAAGAAATGTATGGCCTGTGGCATTGAATGCTATAGATGCATGATGTGACGTTGGTCACAGAACAAGGACCTGACCCTGAGTCAGTAAGAACTTTCCCAATGAACTCCATCATCTAAAAATATTGCAAGTACCAGACCCCTAGTGTGCTGTTTAAGGGAACATAGATACTTTAAGTAAAACCCTTTTTGTAGAAGTGGTAGATCAAACCAGGACACAACATAGACCTGGTAACCTTTAGTAACTCAATCTAGCCTCTGTCTTTCCCAATGCACAGTTGATACCACAGCTATATAACCTAGACAAGCCAACAGAGCATCCAAGCTCATTGTCCAACACACTATGACAGGCTATAGAACACTTCCCAACACCTGTCAAATACCTAAGACATCAGAAAGATCAAAAGCTATGATTCCAGTATGTTACTGTGGTTATGAGACAGTGGTTCTCATTAATGGCCTTGCAACAGCAAGGCATTAAATAACATTTCCAGATCATCCTAGCAAGTAGACCACACACCAGGTTCCAAGGTAGGCAAAAACTAGTCTCTGCTGATTTAACTGGGCAGTTTTAAATCCTGACCTGAATCTGGTGACTGTAAAGGCTGGGAATATGATAGTAGTAATCTTTTCACTGAGGTGTGATGTATTAACAAAATACAATAAAAATAAATAAAAAAGATTGGGAATATGGGCTGAAGCTTGCAGGCTTGCCACTGTCAGTCTGGGTTGACAGTGGCTACAGGACAACCCTTAAGGTTCACTTAATTAGTTACCATTAGAGTTTATAAAAACTTCTCACAGTTGATAACTAAAGCTTAAGCCTAAGTGACTGCAAGGTTGGCTTTGTGAGACAGTAATGTTTGGTGAGACAGTAATTACTATTTCAGTGTTTATGTCATAAGGCAAAGGAAGAAATGATTTATTACTCTGGGTCTACTTGGTGGTTTCAATGCTATTCGTGCTTGCCAGTGTGTGTATTCACTGGAAGAAAGAATTATTAGGACTTTGTCAAGAGCTTGTAGAAAATAAAAATGCTCTTCAAATTCTATTCAATTCTTTTTCACTGCAAGCATGTCAAGTGCATTTTTTTTTTCTTTAAACTACCTCAATTTATTTAGAAATTGCTGTTGCCCATTGGAGGTAATTTTGCAGTCAATTGACAAATCCACAAATCTTTGATGATTCATTTTAGGAAATGAATTTCTTTAGAAGCAAAATAATTTTTAATACATAATGAAATTAGATTTTAGTCCTCTGTATAGAGTGTTACACTGTGCTTCACTGTTAAAAACAAAAACAAAAAACAAAAAATTCACCCCCTCCAAAAAAACAACAAAATAAAAAAACCCACAACCCTCTCAATATTTAAATTCTTTGTAACTTTGTCAGTTTTAAAAATCAAACATTTTCATTAGTTAAGATTCACGTTATCTATATACTTACCATATATATTTTTTAAGATTGTGTAAGTAGTTCTGCTAAATCAGAGACAAACCCTTGTTTGCTGCCATTAAACTAGCTTATCCAAACATTTCTGACTTTAAGTATGTGGCTGAAGAGGAAAGAATTAACCTGGAAAAGTAAGACTTTCATACGGGAATAAGATTTGCATGTGTCACTGGAAATCTGCTTATTAAAATGTTAATGCCAAAATTCCACTCATACTTAAAATCCAAAACACTGCTCTTAGAGAAAAAGAGAAATGAGCGTTTCCAATAGAGAAAGACTTGTGCTTGACCCAGAAGGATGGTGAAGCCATTTACTCTCTCAGATGCAAATACATCACACTTTGCAGGATTAAATCTGAGCAGCCCCAGTTCAGGAAAGCACTTTAAGCACAAAGTATTTTTTTTTTTTTTCCTCTGAGAAGTTCTTAGGTATCTGCTGCACTCCACTGGCTCTACACCAGAAGTATTACAAAAGTTACTTCTGGTCTTCAGTCTTCAGTCTTAAGTCGGTGAATCAGCTGCGATATCACAGATTTTGTATGCGGTATGATCACTGTGATCCTCAAAATCCAGTCCAAAGAGAATATTATTTAAATAAATTACCTTATATGTAGCAAAACAAGGTTGATCCTACAGTCAACTCACATAGTACGGTTCTCATGGGAGTCCATGAGAATTCTGCTTACACTGAGGTGGGAAAGCCTGCAAATGGACCACCACTTTGTGCTTTTATTTTTTTTTTGAAGACTCTTGTTAAATGAAAGTTTATTTTATTTCTGTAGTGTCTGAGCAATTATGAAGTACATGGTTGTTTTACTAAGACATTCTAAATATATCACTTGCATATTAATTAAAAATCTACTTATTTTTGACTCCTGGCTTATTAACTTCCTGGTCTTAATGACATGGCTACAGATGCTGTCTTAGCATTTCAGTGTACATGGGAAAACAATTTACTGCAGAAGCTGGTGAAAAATCCCAAATAGAGTAATTTAGTATCACACTCATTAGGCCTATTTAGACAGCTGAAATTATATAGCCCTGGCGGTCACACCAATGATGTCCTTCATCTACATCAAACAAATATGAGGGACAGTACTTCTTACTGAGCACATTGAATTGGGTTAACCTCCTCATAAGAAATCATGACTTGCCTACTAAAGTTCATATTAGCTCAGACTAATTAATGTCAAAGGAAATCATGCATTTTCTGAATGTGTTGCCAAGCAAAGTTAAAAGAAGGACGTGTAAAATGCAGTGCGTGGATGGATTTGGGTGTTTATCACAAACTAGAATGTAAATCTGACAAGCTGTAAACTGAAACAAATAATAGCAAACTAAATAATTTCTGGTTTGAATTTCAGGAATTAATTATTAAAAAAAATTAAAGTATAATCTATTCACCTATAGTCTGTTTTGGCATGAAAATCTTAGTTACTTTTTTCTTTCATTTTTCTTTTCCTTTTTGGAAAGAAAAAGCAATCACAATGGAAATCAAGGAAGTGTTCTGATGCTTATGTCTATGAGCAACGTTACAGAATGAAGTTGTTTGAATAGTGCCTTTTATGGCTACCTGTTAACTACTGGCCATTGTATGAAGCTACCTTTTATTGAGTATCTTCAGTCTGCACCTAGGGCCCTGTGCCTTTTGCTGTGTTCTGTCTGTGGTGATAAGATGCATCTTCTAGTGTGACGTTTTTTCAATTTTTTATGTTCTGATATTTTCTTGACTTCTGCATTTTGGATATTTATATCGGATGCTAGGTTTAAAGCACTGTTTTCATCTAGGAGTCCTACTTCTAAATTTACATAATGCCAAATAGATTTTACAAATACAACTCCTAATCACACAGGCAAAATTTCAGTTTCCTCTATAAGGAAGAGAGGAGTTAAGACTGCATTTTACAGCCCTGTGCCTGAGAGCAGAATTTGATGCTACATTTAGTTTTAAAATTGGAATGTGTTAAAAGTTGTTAATAAACACCAGTTCCCATGTTCTGTGCATACACCTGGCAACTTTGATAGGTCTACAGGCCAGTATTCAATAGTGTACTAGTAATTCCAAAAGTTAGACTGGGAACAGGGATTTAAGACTCAACCCTACCATGTTTACGTGTGTGCAACTCCAGTGTAGCTCCCTCCTGCAGGACAGCACAGTCAATTTCTCAGGGGCTTCCTGGGAAAGTCTTCCCTGGACTCTCAGCCAGGGGGTTCTTCACTGTGTACAGATTCAAAATACTTCCTTGGGGCGACAATGGCAACTATGGCAACGAGGTGGAAAGTCTACACAGATGTTCTTATCCATTGAAAAAGCTCATTCTGGCTCATCTGGCAAGTAAGCAGCAGTGGTCCCTAGCAGCTGCCGGTAGCTTAAAAGGCACAGAAAAAAAGCCGCAGTTACCCCGGGACTGACCTATGCATACATTTTCATCGTCCAGCTCTGCAGAAGCATTTCTGAAGTAGCCCAGCCTGCATAACTCACAGTGCTGACCTCTAGTGTTGTGCTTACAGCTCACGCAAATGACCGTATTGAGCAGCTCGATGTAACTGCACCGGTTGGAGTGCCCGAAGCATTCACAGTCTTTTAAGGAAGAACAGAAATGTATACAAAATGTATACAGCAGCAGAGTAATAGCACATTACATGCTTAGTAAAAATGAACTATGGAAAGAAATATGAATGAATGGCACATACATGTTAATCAATGTAACATGGACAACAGCAGATGTTTATCTGCAATGAAAGTGAGGGTTGTTTCAGGCAGGTTAGTGTGACCCGACCACCATGGCATGACGTCAAAGACTGACTGCTGTTGGCAGACCTGATGAACTGAAGCATTTGCAGTTGTAAACCTTTCAGGGGTACTGGAGGCTCAGTTTCCGCTGATAGAAGTGCACGTCTTTTTTTTTTTTTTTTCTTTCTCATATTTGAGATGAATATAGATCAAGACACAGGAAAAACTTCCTCATATTAAAAATATTAAATGCAGTGGACAAAATTGTCAAACTTAAGCATGCTTAAATCCACGATGAATGAAAGATAAAATAAAAAAAGCTTTGTTCTGACATAAGTAGTGAGTATTCAAAATTACTTCTGAACTTGGCTCAGGGTACTGTAACTGGTAGGCACCTTGGGAAATAGACTATATTAAATCAAGACCAAACAAATCTCCAGTTTGACAATTTTGGCTAGCACCTCCTAAAACAATTAACAGAGAAGTGGAAGGAAGAGAGATTACTATTTAAGAGTTATTTTCAGTACATTTCTGAGGTAAGCATTAACCTATTTTTAAAATTTGAGATGAAAAACCATTGGGCCAGAATACATCTTGAAAACTCTGAAAATGTATACTGAATAGAAAACATGCTTATTGCAGCCACCTGGACTGCAGCTGACACGACAACCACTTCTTAAAAAAAAAGCACCTTGTTAAACATAGAATCCTATTGCCTCTGAGTACTTAATGACAAGGAGTATGTGGTTTTATCCAGAAAAATGTAGAAATTAGGAAAGCATCAATATCACTATACAAGGCACAGCTATGCTTTGTGTAGAAACCTTGTGTAGGTCTGACTGCTCAGCTTTGAGGCTGAGCCCAGAATGAATGCAGGAAAGGTTATTAGGATGATCAAAGAAGTAGAGAGTCTATTTAAAAAGTGTTCTATGATAATTTGGCCTGTTTAGTCTAGGAAACTGAAGAAGGGATATCACTGGGCTATAAATACATCACGGAAATAGCCTTGTGCCATCCTAAGTGAGTATCTGTGCTAATGGACAACACTGGCACAAGAACAAGTGGGTGTTAACTGGTCATAGAGAAATTTCAGCTGCAAATTAGGAGATGGTGTCTCGCCGTTAGGGCACTGAGGTTCTCAAACACTTCCAATTTGTAGCAAAACCACTCATGCTTTAGAGTTGCAGTGTATTAACGTGGTGAAAGAGATTATGATATGTTTCCTGCCGTAATGGAATGCAGTGACTTGAGGGCTTTGAGGTCTTAAAGTTAACTTAGGCTATAATTAGATAAAGCTGTAGCAGAGGATGTAAAATGTTAATTTTGGAAATACATGGCAGGGACCAAGTCCCTTCTGTATTTTCTAAAGTATACTGCTGATTGTGGTGGGGCACCCCGCAAGCCCACTGGTTGTTGATGTAGGGTGTCAGATACAAACTTTGTTCCTGCTTATATTTTTATTAAAAAAAAAAAGTCAGTACATATTCATGAGTATGTTAAGTAAAAATACATATCTACTTTTGCTGTTGTCTGATCTAGCAGACTATAAATAGATTGCATCTTTTCTTTTATCTACATTGTTTAACATAACATAAGTTTCAATCTTGAGAGCTGTCTTTTGGCTGCCAGGAAACACTAATTCAATTTACATATACAAAGTTAATAGATACACACTCTCATTCTCTTTGATATTACATTGATAAAGTAATGTTCACAGTTCATGTCAGTCTAATAATTTTGATGCCTCTAACTGCTGGAGTACAGTAAAACATTTGGTTTTTCAGTCTTAATATGCTACCACTTGACATATTAGAGTAGGGAGGAAAAAAGTGTTACTGTTTCTCTTCTGCAACTGGTCAGTGAGATTGAGCATTTTAGCCAGCTGCCCAGCACCATTTCTCCACTAGCATATCCATCTTACCTGAGTAAAAACTGCACAGGGAAGGGGCAACTGACCTAAAAGTAGAAGCTAGTGCTAGCAGAAAGGATCACAGTGAAAATTGTTACAATGCTAAATTTTAATGTGTTTTATTTCTAAAATAAGAAAGATTGGTTGGAGATAGGCATTATGATCCATCTGAAGCTCAGATTAAGCAGCAATGCTGTCTTAGGCTCTGCTTTGAGAAAGAACCTGTCTTCTGCCCCCATTACACAACTTGTTTCGGCGAGAAGATACCGTGCTGTTATGTTCCTTAATGTAATCACACTGCAGGTGAATTTAGAGGAAAGGATTTACATTGCTTTGTGAAACAGTAATGGGCAGCAGAACAATAATACATTTTTATGTTATAAAAATATGCAGGCTGTAAATAAGTGACAGTAAATCAGACTATACTACCTCATCTTGTGTGTTTAAAATAGCATTCTGTGAATGAATGACTGCGCTACTTCCACTCTGAAACTGTGATATGACCTTTAGTAATACTACTACAACACATAATTGGCTATTACAAAAGCACAAGAAACAAAACTGCACATAAAATAATTCACTGCTTTAACAGGGCTTGCTACAAGTTATGAACTTGACTAAAGAAGCATTAATAATTATGAAAGGCTCAGTTTGATGTACACATACACTCTTGAATATATTCAGAGGGACTACAAAAGTTCATATGTGTCTTATCAATATTAAGGGTAATTAATGAGACCAATTCTTGACCTCATTGCAGTCTCCAACTTCCTCAGCAGTGGGGGGCAGGGAAGTGCTGATTTCTTCGCTGGTGACCAGTGATAGATTGGAGGGAATGGTAAAAGCTGCATTAGGGGAAGTTCAGACTGAATATTAGGAAAAAAGGTTTTCACTGAGAGGGTGGTCAGCCCCTGGAACAAGCTCTCCTGGTAAGTGGTTATGGCCCCAAGCCTGTCGGTGTTAAAGATGCTTTTTGAAAATGCTCTTAGTTATGATTTAACTGTTACGTTGCTCTGTGTAGAGTCAGGAGTTGGACATGATGATCCATGTGGGTCTTTTCCAATTCATGTAGTTCTGTGAGTTGAGTGGATACTCTGTTTTGTGACAGTTGTGCTGAAAAACTCTATGAATCTTCATTTTTATGGCACGGTAAATGCCATATGGTATACTAAAAAAATCTGGGTTAACTGAAATGGTCTAACATCTGATCAAATATTAGTAATGGCAGAGAGGAAAAAATAAAAAGCCAGGACAAGTTAACTAAAGTCCCTTTATTATTATAACCATTTTTTTCTGATTTTTTATTGTTTCCATTTTGCTAATGTAATCATACAAACTTATTATTTTATTGCTGTTGGCCTGATCAGTGATCATTTATACATTCCTGGGTTTATTAAAAATAACTAATAGTAATAACAAGCTATGTAAAGGGTCTGCATGTGACTGAAAGGAAAGCGATCTTTCCATGAGTTTCATGAGGTACTTCCCTGAATTACTCATACAAAACGTACAATTGCATTCAGCATCATGGCAGCTGCGAGTCTGATAGCTGTCAGTGCTGTATGGCCTTCTAGCTTATCATGTGATTCACCTAAACCAGCACAAAACCCAGAAAGTAGCCAGCATATTAGAAATGTCAGAAGCATAATTTAAGGTTTTTAGCAACTGTCTGGCTAGCAGCCCCGCAACTTTCATGCACTGGTCAAGCCACATAGTCACTGAAAGATATAAGGGGGAAAGTACCAAAATCAGGCTGCAAATGGTTTAACAACATTGAAATGATACGAGCTTACTGTGCTAGAAAATGCTGCATTCAGTTCTGAGCACCATATGTCAGAAAAGACATACAAGCTTAGAGATAGTATAAGGCTGAATAACAACAAGGAGTAAATGGTTTGGAAAATAAAACCTTGGAGAGGTAAAGCTAGCTAGGTGTGTTCAATGTGAAGGAAAAAGGAAGATGGGAGATGAGATAGCCATGTTAGATTTGATAATTATCTTTGGATGATTCAGAATTGTCAAATTCCTTGCTATTTCACAAAAGAACTGACTGTATGAACCTTTAAAGATGATTCCCAATGGAATGATTCTACTGTGACAACCCCACTCCTGTTGTATAAAACACAATAAAATTACCTATTGAAGGAAGCTCATGAAAAGGTTGATCATTTAATTGTTTTGTTTCTATAAACTGAATAGTCATTTTTCTTCACTGTTATAATGCTATGGTTTTACATCTTTGAGATTTAAAATATTGTTGTGCTATCAGGACTAGGTTCAGCTCAAGGTTCAGCTGGGACTGGTAAAACATGAAATGTCATCACATGAAACAACAGTAAACACACATGGAAGGGAAGCATAATTTTAAAACTAAGACTGGTAATGCATGAGACAGCTATCAGTGTCATTTTCTAATCAAAAGAACAAAAAGTATTTCAAGAAAAGTGCTTTCAGAAATCATTTAAATATTTTTTCTTTGTTTTCCCGTAACCGAGTTCATCCTTTGTATGCTTTGAAATACAAAGGAGATTTCCTTGTAACCTTAGAAATTACCTGATTTGTAACAGTTATGATCTCATCAAATGGATCAAACCTAAATTCAAACACTTGTTGATTTCTCAAATCCTTACTTGTGCATTTCATGAATAATGAGATATTCACAGCAGCTACAGAAAGACAAAGCATCTCTATATGTACTCTTTACAGATAAATTGATGAAGAAAACCAATGAGAAGATCTCGGAGTTGACTATGGATGATAGAGATGCAAACAAAACAGGTTGCCTGGACGTCACTGAGAGAATATTGGCATCTTTCATTATGTCCGTATAATTCCATTATTTTGATAAAACACTTAAATATCATTTCAAAATGTAATGCCTACACTCTCAATTTGTGCACTGTTACAATAAAATGAAGATGTAAGGCACACTTACAATGCATTAGAAGACATAAGTATTTACTACACTCCATGGCATTTACAGATGTGTCTTGATGATACGGACAATTGACATTTTATGTATTGTATGACCCCAACTAATCTATTTGTTTCCTAATTTGTTTCTTTTTCACAATTTATGCAGATTGGTGAGGAAAAGAAATCTCTACCAACAATTTGCTCTCTAGGCAATAATCTGAATGGTAATATTCTTATATTTAATCCTTTAAAAACAAATGACATGTCACTTTATATGCCACAGTACCATGGAAGCATATTTATTTTTTCTCTGGATAGCTTATGTTTATGTGACTTAATGTTTCTGTTGTCATCAACGAAGATGCCTCACCAGTAAGCTGATGGGTACACTTCACAGATATTCCAGATTCATACAGTGCAATGTTTTCACAACACATAGCACTATGAAATCACTGTATGAATCCAAGAATTCCTACCTCTCTTGTGGTTTGCAACTTGAACAGAAGAAACAGTTGTCATAGTTAATTTGGGAGCAACTGTATAGGTAATAAAATGAACAATAAATTAGAAAAGATTTTCTATAGGAACAAATCAAAAGATTAAAATATACTTTTTTATTTTTTTATTTTTTTAGATTAACTTTTACAGTGTTAAATTTAACATTAAGAATGGTTACTGTTTTGTTAGGAAAGGGTGAAACTTGGTCAAAATGAATTATAGGTACCAACTATTGAATCATTTGAGCTTTTGATCCAAGATAAGGGGAAAGTTATTCACATCTGCACACTTTGGCAATTTTGTGTTAGTGGTTATATGATAATTTCTCTCAATCCGTGGCCAACGACTGTATGGTAACCACTGTGGGCTGCGAATGGTTTTATTAAATTTACTCTGGCCTAATAACATAAACAAAAAAAATACAATAAAATAAAATAAACTGTAGGCAGACTTCTGTAATTATTCTCATTATATGCTATACTTGACTGAAGTATTAATTTAAAATAATTGTGAAACACTGTAACAATATGCTGCAAGCACATAATTGGAGTATAAATACTTTTAATTTTTTGTGTTTTGTGCTCCATAACAAAATGTCAAAATTATATTTACTAAAGCTGGCTCTTATTTACTAGGGAAGAGACAATGAGTTATTTTGTTCTGTTCAAGATGTATTGTGCAATGAAGTTAAGTCTGATAACACAAGCAGTACAATTGATTAAGCTATGAAATCCATTAGAAATGCTGAGTTATTTCATCAGGAATATTTAGATCTAAAATTCCTGTGAATAATGTAGACTAATCCTTGCAGAGAGCAGAGAAGCAGAGATGTACTCTGTATTTGTTTGTTTGTTTAATTAAGGACCACGGACAAAATTCAGAAATAAAAAAAAATAAAAAATGGCCAAGTGAAATTATTAGAATGCTAAGTGTCACTTCATCATGTTTATTTAATTCAAAACACGTGAATAATGCAAACTGAAATATATTGCTAATCTTTATAGAGAGTACAGGTCAATTGGGATTTTCTATTTTTTTGTGGGAAGCACATATAGTACATTAGGTTTTATACCTCTTTATGTCTCAATTTGGTCACTGTGATCAACAGATATAAAACTACAGCCCTTCTGAAGTAACTTCCCCAACAATCCCTAATACGTTTTGTTCAGATTAGTAGCTATTTTCTACATTGCCTTTTCATTCTTCATCTGCATGTGTTATAGGCAAGAAAAGACACTCTGAACTGTCAGAGCAAAAATTTTTACAGGCCAAATTTTTACAGGGATTTCTTGGGAGTGAATGGTTACTGGGACAGTAAATAAGAAGAACAAAAGGACATTGTTTTTTACATTGAACAATAATTATGATTTAATTTAATAATTATAGTATATAGCTGAATACAACTTCAAATAACTAATACTCTTACTTTTATTTTATTACTAATCTTTAAAAGTTGTTCTGTCACTTTCAATGCTAATCATTGTGCCAAAGTCTGCAAATAATATTTTGTGTGGCACTTGAATTTTGGAGAACTGAGAGTCTATTCTGCAGAGAATATGCTTGTATTGTGAATTTCACACAAGCTAGGAATTCCCAGCTCACTTGGGGAAAAAAAAAAACAAACAGACGTGGAAATAAGACATTAACGCATGGGTTTGATGTAGACAATGACAATCTTTCGCACTCAAAAATCTCAAAACTTAGTCATAATATAGACTATAGTTTATACAAGTCCAACATTATCCTGGGACTTCTGTTCAACTTAATGTATATTGGTACTTATAAACCTGTGTTTCTACTTTTCCAGACTTTATGCAGTGATGTTGTGTGTGATCTTATTGTTGGAAAATGCTCTTTTCAGGTAAGGCTTGCTTTATGGTTAAATTCTGTAGATATTTTCTCACAGAATAGCATTACTCAGCACTGAAAGAAAAATGAGTTGGATTATCATTGTTACTACTTTTGTTGCCATGTGGGACTCTTAGGAAGCAATTTCAGTAATTTTAGACCACTAGGAATTTTACAGCATCCTACCTTGATTTGGTTTAGAAACCTCAAGGGAAGAAATATTCGGCCATATCCTATCAAACTTTGGAGGATCTGCATGCATCAGGAAAAATCAGGTTTTGTTATTTACATCTGTGATATTGTTCTAAACAGGCAAGCATATGGACAAAGACATAGACTACAAACATCCATTTCTGTACTAGTCTAAGTTGCACTTGAACAGTACATGACTCCACATTAAACAAGAAAACAAGCAATTGATGATTCCCAAAACACCAAATGGACATAAAATACTGTGCATAACAATTTATCTTCCATGGTTTAAAATAATGTTCTTGATAAGAGGATATCCAAGACCGATATATTTGGTTCTAACACCAGGAACAAAATAGAAATGTGTTCTGTTAATCTGCTCTGTAGAGATAAAATGACATATCAGACAAATACGAATTTCTTACCAAAGACACATATCTTACCGTAGCATCCTGATTTAAGGCCTTATTGAGTGAATTATACTTCTGCTATTGAAATATCTTTACCAGTAGAATGAACCTTTTCTTTGCTCTCACATTTTTGTGTATTGTGTCTGTTTCCTATCACCTCTACTAATCTATTTCCCAGATTATTATTATTTTTTTGGGGGTAAAAACAAAGTGTATAAATTTCTTAAGGGCCCTAAATAAGATGTTACCTCTGTATAGTGGCATTTTGCCTCTGAACAAAAGTATTAGTTATGTCTTTTCAGAGTTTCATTTCCTTTAGTTCAATGTGTTTTGGGGCTGAGGTAGGGCAGAGTGGTAACCCTTAACAGGAGTGGTACTGGCTGCAGGAGTTGGGAGCAAGTAAAGGGTGTGAGCTGGGTGGTTGAAAGCCTCTTTGATTCTGATGTGGGACATGATGTTTATGTTCTACTTCTTTTTCCGTTCTCTGTCTTCCTTAGCAGCTCCCATCTGCCTAGCTTTGGATATCAGATTTGGACATTTTTATCTTCTGTGAGTACTGCAGCTGTTACTTCCTTTCTGAGCTGAATAGAAAACTTCTTAATGGTCACATCAGCCTACATAGCAGTGATAAAAATGGGGAGATGGCTGTTTTATTTCTACATACAAGGAATTCACTTGAATAGTGAATGGATTGCAGTCGTTACATCTTTTTGGCATCAAGGGTCTATGCTTGTAGATCTTTTTAGAAGCAGGTGTGTTTCACTGGTATGTCATTCTTAGTGGAAGACCTTCAGGGAATCTAAGAGAAAAAGACTGATGCTTCAACATCTGATGTGGAAGGAGGACTGTATTTGTTTTCTGTTATATCCTCTGACCCATTTGTTAAAGGTGAAGTGAATTTGGCTGGATGTGGATGAATGTCCCAAAACTCCTCCAGGAGAGAACAATTCAAGGAAAGGATAACGGCCTGTACTGTGCCATTTACTGTTAGGTAGTCTTCTGCAATTGAACCAGTCAAGTGTTGACCTAATTATTTATCTACATCATCTATATATATAAATCTACATCATAATCTTACTTTTTTGTGCTTTTCCCTTATCAGTCAAGAAAACGGAAGAAAGGAAAACCAAGTCGGTTTAGTAGATTCTTGAACAGTCTATGTCTTGATTAAAAATAAACTTCCTCTACTAATCAGATCCACCAATTCACACACATAGGAAGCGCAAACAGAGTAGTCAGTGCATGAAAAAAGCTATCTAAAAGCCATGTTTACTGAGGTGGCATAACCCTGGCACACTAAAATGACTGATTCCACATACCTTCCTCCTCCTCCTGAAATACTGGCTGACTAGTTACAGTAAAGAAGTTTGAAATGCTGACAAAATTGCTTGCACAGTTAATTCACCGATAAAGTTTTGGTAAAATTTTAGGAACACTTAGGCTTGACCGAAGTGTTTGAATAGACTGTATGTTAAGGAATATGCATGAAAATCGGGATTTGAAAATGAAAATGAATCTTTGATTACATTTTCTTTCTGTCTCCTGAGCCTTTTTCTCTTTTAACCATCATCCAACATCACAGTTGTTGCAGAAAACCCATCACATTTCAGACAGGAACTTATAATACCCTACTTCGGTTGCTGAACGTTGAGTGGCATCCCTACTTCAAAAATTCACATGCAAAATGGCCTAGATAGTAACAGATATAAAAGTAATAGCATCAAAGCTTTGTAATGCCTTAGGACTAACCCTCTGGTATATCTGTCACTTAGTAAACTGCAGGTCCTATATATGATATCAGATAAGCTTTTATTCTGATAATGATTTCCCCAAGGAATCTCTTGTCTTGTCCAAATAATATCATTACTTGTGTGACAGAGAATCAGTGTTACATATTTCTAAGTAATCCTATAAATGCTACAGATCTGTGCTCATTTTAGCAAACAATGGAGATTGTGATTTGCTACAAAATAATTAAAACTTCCCTGATCCTTTAAATTAGATTATATTCAGCTGAGTTTCTTAATGGGCATCCAAAATAATTAAGAGCATATTTACTTTTCCTGAAGATGAAAAATTAAGATTTTTTAATAGTGATTATCACTAGTTATTAGTGATAATTATAACTATCTTAGAAGGGACTTGTGGAGGTCATTTGTTCCATCCTGTGCTCCCTGCAGGGTCAACTTCAAAGTCAGATGGTACTGCTCAGGGTCATATCCAGTTGAAACCAGATGCTTTCTTCAGTGGCTCTGGGCTGCTTGGTAATGCTCCAGGAGGCTTAATGCTTCTGTTACTCACTCTATTACTCACTTTATTTTTTTAATCTTTGGTAAAGATAATTTTTTCCCATGTCCTTACTCATGAAATGCATTATCACTGAGATTGTTTCCTGATAAAAGTCAGTTCTCTTCTCTATTGGAAAAAAAATCAAAGATATGATTTTAAATGCTTTATCTAAAAATGTATGTGAAACTTCCAAGTCAAAGAAGGTTGACGATCATTCCCACAAGTATATTGGAGCAGATGAGTCATTCTTTGAACAGACATCAGTACGATTCATTTAGCAGCTAGTTATTCTTTTATAGCAATTTGTGAAAATATTTCTAGTCCTCAGTGATCACCACAAAACATCCTATTTATAGAGAAGCTGAGTAGATAAACTAAGCTCTTCCAGAACAGTTTTGTGTTTGCATGCTCTGTTCTGTTACTCAAGTACTTATTTTCCAGAATAATTAATTTTGGCATACATATTCTAGAACATGCACTGGATAAATCTAGGATATTACTCTATTGCAATATGTTACAAGATAATCATTCTGGGCAAACAAGGCTACAGATATGTGAAAAAGAGCTTCTAAAAATCCATTTTAGTGTATTATTTAAATATACTGTAGGCACGTATAAGAGTAAAGGTATATGAGATATGAGTGATATGTGAGTGAGCAGAAAATCAGCCATTTCATTTTAAATTTGCATTGGTAAATTCTGTGGTTTTAGTTCCTATTGTTTGAAAGACAATTATATGCAGAAAGTAACTCTTGGAAAATCTTGTTTTCATGAAGTAAGAAAAAGCTGGTTGTCTATTTACTAGGTGTATGATCATTTCCTGCCTCCCAAACTCAAATGCCTGTTTTGGATACATAGTATTAGAATTACTTGTAATATTAAATAAAGGAAATACTTTTCAATATTCCCTGGAAATGCAATCTGTACCACATGCCACATCATGGTTTTGAATTGGGGAAATAACAGAAATGAAACAGGTCATTTCAGCCTTATTTCAGCCTTATTCCAGCCAGACGGCTGCACATGAAAAAACTTGTCATGATGTTGGCAGAAATTAATCAGTACTTTGCTTGCTTCTCACTTCAACCAAGTCCTGAGCTGAAAGTAAAATTAAAATGTATTTTAAGCTCTCCAGCTGAGGACTTATCCTTCCTAGGGGATGGAGGAAGAAGGCAGGTGATGCAGCATGTGAAGATGACCCTGCTACCTGGGCAACTGCTCTGCAGCAGACTAGGGTGTTTTCACCTCCTATACTGTTCAAGCTGACCTGTCCACAAGCAATGCATTTGCTGAAAATTACTGTTATTAAATCAGTAAGTCTTAAGTAACACTCACTCAAATGGTGGACAGGGAGCACTTGCGTTGACTTGTGTTCACTACTGTCATTACTTATTTACGTTACCATTGGGAACCTTAGTGAGAGAAACTGTTTAAGTGTTTATTAATGGTTGTGAAACTTTTACTTAAAATGTAAAAAGGAATAAAAACTTGTCAATGTAAATTTAATGATTCTAGTAAAAGTCCAAGTCATTGAAAACTGACCTTGCCACTGCCTGTTTTAAACAATAAGTAACAAAGTAAAGATTGTTTCTTCCACAGTATAGGTCTGTTGAGCACAGTGGAATTAGATGTATGACAGCAGTTTTAGGTTTCATATTAAACAAAACAAACAAACAAACAATAAAAATAACAACAACAAAAAAAAGCTCATTCAAATCGGTGGCAGTGGCAATTTAGTAACTGCTGGAATAATTGAATGTGTTTAGACAGATGGCATGCCATCGCTTCTTGCAGAGATCACACGATCATTATTACAGAATTTCTAGGTCTGTTTGAAGTCATGATAACATACCTCATGAGAATTTGCCTTTCAGCGTTTCTGTAATACTGGAAATCTATCTCCTCAAAAGGGAAGAAATGCTGATACTATTTTTTTTAAATCACCCAATATTAAATTAAAAAAAAAATACTGGAAAATACTGGGCCAATGTTAGGCACTCTTTTTTTGGAGCAATGTAGGAAGTTTCATACCTGTTCCTTTGAAGAAAGGAGAATTCTGCATAAATGTGAAGATGTGGTTGTTTTATGGCAGCTCCTCAGCCATAACATCTTTTATAACTGTTGGAAGAATTTAAATGCAATTAGTCCTTTACGTGTCCAGTTGTTGTCTTAGACTAAAAGAAAGCGAACTTTTTTGAGTCTTTAAAAATCCAGTGATTCAGTTCTGGAAATTCTTAGAGCTGCTATCAGAAAAAAAAAAATCCACTGCTTTTTAACAAAAGCATTGGCTAGTTCTCACACTAATGAGGTGTGAAGGAGTATTCTTCAATTGTAAGTATTTCCAGTGAAGTATCACAAATGCACAATGAATTCAGGTATTTTTAAATGCAGTATTTTATGTAATTTCTCATGAAAAAAGAACTAATTCTGTTGATAGTTTGTGGGAGTGGTTCTTTTTTATTTTGAATTGTTCTGCTTTTTTCCTACAAAGGTGCTGGAATTCACTGTTGGACTGGGACTATTGTACTGTAATTCACAACTGATGAAGAACAGTAAATCAAGACCTGTTTTAAAAATCAGAATGCTGATTTCAAGACTCATTCTGCCCTTATACTCTACAAAATAAACTGATTACATGTCTAAGGGAGAAAAAGAAAGAGGAGAAAAGATACAGAGGTGCATTTTTTCCACAGTAATTTCTTCCTAAGCTTTAATGATATTGTATTTTTAAATATCTTTATGGATCTAAGTTTTCTGAGTAACTGCAGCAAAACTTGCATATTGCAAGTGCAATATTTCTTCCTCAGGTACTACTGTTCTTGTTGAAATGTTGCTACCTCTAGCGTCTCCATAGAGCCCTATCACTTAATTGTTCATTAACAGCTAAAACAATATAGCAGGAAAATGAATAATCTCCTGCATATTACAGCAAGCCATAAAAGCCCTGAAAAGACAATTTGATACGCTGACTTTTAACTAACTCAGAACAATGAATGTAAATCAGGATGAAGAATGAGAAACAATACTGAACTGCCTCTAAACTGGCCATGTCTACTGAACTGGAGAGAATGGCTCTTCTTATCTGTTAAAATTGGTGGATCTGGCAAAACAAACCAAACTAAAACAAAGGCTCCCCCAAATCCCAACCCAGTAATTCATCGGTGCTTCCCCAAAGAGTGTTGGTAGTTTCTGACATGCCACTAGAAATCACTCCACAAAGAGTGGGTTTCTGTTCAGTGCTGGGGTCAGCAAAGGCATTCTGCTTAGAGAACTTCAAGGCTAAAATCCTACTTATAGAGAAGGAAAAATAGCTTTGTTATGAATCCTATCAGGTAAATAAGCTACTCACTTTTTTTTTTTTTTTTTTAAACCTATTTGTAATGTTAAATTCTCTTTCAGATCTGGTGTTCAAATTAATGCGTTATACCACACAGGCTGTCAGTATCTTTTTGCCAGCCCCTTTTCTATTTATCTATCACAGAAACTTAATTGTTGAAGTGGAAAATTCTGGGCTCTTGGAGGTATTGAAGTAAAGGAGGGAAAAACAGATAGTGATATTGTCTTGATATAATCTGTTACTCAGATAAGGTGATTGCCTTAGGCTGATCAGTGTCTGATCAACACCGATATTTATTTGAAAGTTGGATTTGCATAAAATTGAATTGAAATAAGAACATTTTGCTAGTATGTCCAAAATAATACACACACCGTCTGAAGACAATATTTACATGTTCTGAAGGAGATAAACATCTTGATGGGTCTCTTAACTATAGAGTTATCTCTGTAAAACTTGACCTCAAGTAACAGAGAAATAACTACAGCCTAGTTATGTTCATATCCTACTGACATATACGTATGTTAGTGTGCTACGTATATACTCTAGTCCAGAGTTTGGCACTGTAATGGTTTTGATCTCGTGACTGTAAATTTAATGAGAGAACTTCCCAGTTGGTGCCAGGGTGCGAAATCAGGTCCACAATACTTCCAATATGGTTAAAAAAATGCAGACAAAAAAACCCTCTAGTATTTGCTCTCAAAACCTTTTACTATTTATATTTACCACTTTAAAACCTCATAACAAAGATGTAAAACAAATAAAACTACATTCATATTAATGCTATTTTAAATGCAAAAATGTATCTATCAGATCTTTCAAGGTTAAGAAACCAGGAAAATAAGAGTGCCCATTCAATCTCTATTTTACTTTTGTGTCTCACGTTCATTATCATTCAAAAAAAAAACAAGTTCAAAAAAAGTTCTCTTAATTTGAAATTGGCTATAAAGAAGAACAGAAATATAGTGAAAAAAGCTGAGAATACCATTTGATTGTCTTGATTGCACCTTGCACTTGGGTGCATGGTTTGTCTCTAAATTCTGACTCATCTGCCACCAGCAGGCTTTAAGGTGATAATCACCCACACAGAGCTATTTGCACATCATGTCTATCTTATCCTGTATCTAATTATACCCTTTATAACAAACTGTTTAGCATAATTAGTGGAGTTATGCTTTACAGGAATAAAGATAGAAGCTATAGGTTAGAAGATTCAAGTTTTTGAAGGCATACATGTACAAATTAGTTACTTTGGTATGTGGTCACAATAACGAATACTTTGATGTGTTGGTCTATGTGAAATTATACAATGATTACTTTAGCAAGTAAAACAATGCAGTTCTCAGAATATTAAAATACTGTATATAAGCACTGTTGATCATAAAAGCTTAAATTATGAAATGGTTTTGGGACTCATTAATTGCTAACACTCTCACCAGTATTTTTTCAAACATGGCTGAAAAATGCTGAAAGGGCCAGCGCTAGAATCAAGAATGCTGGAAATGACAGGAGAACCTATTACTCCATTGATAGACAACAGCAGGTACAAATGACCTTAATGGGAAAGCTCGGATTTATTTTTTTCTAGATGATCAGAAAGGATGTTTACTTAATGACCACTCTTTCTTTGTGCTCAAACTTTAATAATGAGCTGCTTTAATACAAGATCCTGTGTATTCAGAATGATTTTTTTGACCCAGAACGATATGCATATATGCACTCAGTTAAATATATTTTATTTCTCTTGGGCATGCTTTCATTGCAGTCTTAAGAGTGTCTAATGAATATAGGTTGCAGTGGCATGTTATTTGTATGCTGGTAGTTTAGTGTTTATTCCTTCCCTCCTTCCTGTCCCTGTCTTACATACGAGGAAAAGCTTGAAGCACACAAAAGCCAATACCCCCACAGTACTGTTTGCAGTCAGGCAAAATAAAACCTTAACTCTATCTCCTGAGAATAATTTCCTGTCCTCAGGTGGGGAGGAGCACTGCTGATATGAACATAAATATTGTATTAATATAGACAAAAGAAAAAAATAATGCAGAATCCATTAAAGCAGCCACAACTAATTAATCTTGTTTGGTTTTATGTATTAATGGTACTTTTGTTAAATTCTTTTAGAGACCAGGATAAATACATGGCTTCTATCCTTGTTTAACTGATAATTCTGCTATTTCTATCCTATAGGAAAGATGTTCAAAGCATTGTGCAAGAAGAGCTATTTTTCCCCTGAGCTATTTAAGAAATAAAGCATGAAAAAAAAAACAAGCAGATTATCAGTATTTACTTGTGCTCATGAAGAGATGCTCATGCTTCATCCTTTCCAGGTAGGCAAATAAATTTGTTGAATTCTACCACATATTACTCCAAGATGTTTACAGAGTATTTAAGATAAAGCATAGACTTGAAGTAATTCTTGTATTTCCTATGGCATGTTAAACAGGATTTTCTCCATTATTAATAGATGAACGGTACTAATCACCCCAGTGTAAAACACAAAGAGGTCAACATTGCATCCTTTCAGGTCACCATTGTTTAAAAGGCATTTGAGTTTCCCTATTAAGTTTTCAAAGGCCAACATCTGCTGATGCTCAGAAATGGTAGATGTGGTGACAAAGGCTGTATGGAGCGTGAAGTGAAAACAACCATATAGTCCATGCAACAAGATACTAAGAAACTATAGCACAACCATACTTCAAAGACCTATTTTCCCATTCATCCCATTTCTGTTATTCATAGCAGGATATTCCTGATAACACTGACATAAGCTTTTCTCTAATTTAGTTCATTGTTTTTGGTTGTAAAATATGTATATAAACTCAAGGATTTGCAAATAACCTATCTTTGTGCATTTGCATTCATGCTAATGGCAAAGGAGATACTGAAGCAGGAAGATTATTAAAATCGAAGGCTTTCATTTGCAGGTTCTTGTCATTGATGCTGTTTTGCTATTTAAAGCTACAAAACATATGTCATGGCATTCAGCTGTTAGCACTGTTCTTATTTATAAGCAGGATAGTTTTGACGACCTTTAACTTGCTGTCTAGAGTTTAACAAATCAGTGCTGTTCATGAGCTTCAGTAAACTGAGTTGATTTACAAATTGACAGACCTGACTGTGCATCATAAGAAGCAAGGCACTTTTACCCAAATTAGTGGAAGTTTTTCAGCTGGATATCAGGTATGGCAAATTGTATTTTACTATTGTGGTATTTTATCATTGGGATAGTCCTGCATCACACAGAAGTTCTGTCTAAAGTCTCTGCAAAGCTGAGGGGAATATTTTGTCAGCCTCATCAGGATACCATTTTTACCTCCGTGCTTTATTTGTAAGCAGCTAATGTGCTATGTGCACTTCTCTGCTGTGGAACTCAGCTGCGTTACCATGCTCTTCCTTTGTGTTCTTGCATAATGAATAATCTGTTTCATTGATATACCAGTTCTTTACAGCATTATGGTTTTGTCATAGTTGAAGTGCAAATTTTGTTGCTTTAAAAACATACAGAAAAGCAGTGTTATTGCAAGTCTTTTTCCTGCACTTCTATTTGCCCTGTGCAGGAAAGCTCAGTTCAAAGGGCACTGGAGGTAATGCAAAGATTCCAACAGGTACACTACAATTGCTAAGCTACTGCATAAAAATTAGAAGTGTTTATATAAATTCTTCTATTTGCTCTTTGAATTTAAGCATACATATACACATGACAATTAATGATCCTATACTTCTCTGTTACTAGTTTTTTTTTTAATGCAAAATATATTCAACAAATGTTTTCTGTAGAATAGGGTCTTAATTCTCTGTATAGCACTCAGCTTTATAGCACTCAACTTTCATCTGCTGATCAGAACAGATCAGAAAATCTGTGGCTGAAAGCATATGTGCTGTCAGGAGTGACATTCTCTCTGACCACATAATACAGTTATGTGTTAATGTAAACCAATACATAGCCCCTTCACCGTAGAGCACATTTCAGAGAAACATTATCTACAACAGAAATGGATGTTGGGAAATAAGATCCAAGAAGCTGAATGACAATGCAAAACAATACTGTTTTTTATTACTTACTACCAATACTGGAAATACTGGGTATACCTGTAAAGAAAAAAAATAATGAAAAGGTGTTGTTAGCTGTTTGCTGTAGTCAGCGATACTATTGCACCTAAAATTCTGAAAACAATTTTCTCCTAATTTTCAGAATATTGTATCAATGGATAGTTAAAACCAAGCATACCAATATGCATCCAGCCCTTTCAAAATGCAGAGTCTTTGGATTTTTCAGTATGAGAGTGCAGGGACCACTAAAATGTCTTGACAGATGGGTATTTCTGGGACCTATACCAGCTCTCTGAACTTCATGAATTTGTTCAGAACAGTTTTGTATTTGAACTAACCAGCCATTAGGTTTAATGCTTTAGATAAAAATATCAGTCATGCATGTATTATGCAGATCTAGGAAAATAATTTAACCAAGGGATAAATGCATTGCTAACTGCTTTGGCCAGCTGCTTAAATCAGTTGATACCTTCTGTTGCATTAACTGTATATAGCTATTTTTTTCATTTTTTTTACCTGATGGTTACTTAAATTAAGTTATGGAAAAGAAATGTAATTGAGCAAAACAATCTAATGCATTAAGTTGGTCATATTGACCAAGCCTATCATTGATTTTTTTCCCCCTGCTTTCATTTCAATTCCTAAGCTGAATTAATGCAAGGAAACCATTCCACAGGCAGGTGAGATTTACCAGAAGAGGTGGGACTGCTGAGGAGTAAAACTCCTCTGCTAAATTAGCAATATGGGATCTCATGTTGCTTGATGTAGTCCAGACGTGTAGCTTGAGGTCATATCTACCCTGAAAGGTGTCTAGCTTCATGTCCAAAAATGTGGACATGAAATATTTCCTGAAATGCTATTTTCTTTAGATTAAATGATATTGCTGCTGGTGTTATTCCTAGTTTCCAGGGTTAAATTGCAGATCAGTATTTAAGCCCTGGATGTTTACATCCTCTCAGTTAAATACAGTTTTCCTTTGGTAAGTTTTACTGACTTTAATGATATGCATTTTACTGCAGAAATCTGTGTGTTTCTCCATTAAACATCTGCTATACTTCTTTCAAAATCTATCCTGAAGTTCTGTCTTAGAGATGGTATGGACCTTGTTCTGCAGTTAGGCATGCTGGAGCAAAGCCATGTCTTACGGATAAATGACACTCAGTGTAAGCAAGGAGGTGGAGTCAAGCTGGGATCATTTTGAAACTGTGGCATGGCAAGGACAATGCTAAAGCAATTGCATATGCAGAATGGTGGACATAAATAGATCTCTGGTGTTTCACCACATCGGTCCCAGGGCACGCGTTGGATTGGCAGCGCCTTGGTTTTACACCCAGGCACTGCACTGAGGGTAGCACCTAGTGCTGGCTGACTGAGCCCCACATTCAGACGCTGTTTCTAAACTTTGTCTATTTCTGCTGAGATTAACTTGTATTTTGCAGAATATTAAAATCATGCAGTAAGTATTAGAAGCTAAATAAGGATGCCATCATAATAGAAAACATGGGTTTTGTTCTAAATACAACAAGAAGTGCTTATTTCATTATTGTCATTTTCAGTTAGATTAATGTAAGAGAACTTCTGTCCCTTTGCCCTAATTGTCAGAAAGACAATCAATTTTCAAACATTTTTCTCCAAAGTTTCAACAGCAACTTTTTTCATTTTTTTTTTACAAGTCATTATAGCTGTTTTAAATTAGCAGGATTCATTTTCCTTTATACACTGATGGAAACTGCAAAAATATTAGATGAAGTACAGATCCTGTGTTCTCACACTTCCACTTCCACTGTGAATTTGTATTTGTATTTCCTTCGGGTATACTCCCCCGCCTCAAACCTCTTTCTCTCCTACACACATTCACAAATACCCTTTCCTTTCTGTCCTGAACAGACTGTAGCAAAAGGAGAGGTTTTCCTGCAAGTCTGCTCTCCTTCTTTTACTCTATTTGAAAATTTTCAATGAATTCATAGTGGTAAATGCTTCCTGGGCAGAGAAAAATGAGAATAAGAAGCCTGCTTGCCTGAAGGGCTCTGTATTAACCTTGCTAAGTTGTCTTCAGGTTCTGTTTGAAAAGCTCTTTTGCTATTTCTGTACAGAGTTTCCATGTTTGTGTGATCTGCTGTAACCAGCTTGATTTTTGTTAATACCAGTTACCCCTCCCTGTGGAGACTAACCTTGAACAGCATGCTGCTTCGTGGGGGGAGCACATTACAGAGAGCTGAACCGGGCACACACCGCTAAATAAATAAAACCGAGTGACTGCATTTACATATCTTGAGTATACCCAAACCAAAGCAACGTTCAATCTAAATTTTCTTCCACGTGGAATCACCAGGATGGTTATTAATTGTAATGGAGTCCTATACTGAGGAAAGAGTGAGTAAAGCATGCTAAGTTCAGGGGTAGATCCTGCCCCTGAAATGGCAAACATTTCAGGGCGAACATGTCTTCAGTACTATTTATTATTTTTAACTTGACTTGGGGGTGGTAGTTCGGTATATTACATGTTCACTGTAAGTGCATCTAAATATGTACGCTTTACTTGAGAGAAGAAAAAATGGTGTTTTCCTTGCATATGGTCTTCTGCATCTGCCTTGTAATTTTCTTGTTTCCCCTTTTTCAAGAGAGGGGTTGTTTTAGCTATTAGTCATCCTGTAGATGACTCTATTGAGAAAGGAGGAAAAAAACCCCACCACAAATTGGATGCTTGCAAAGAAAGCAGGTTTTTGATTTCTTGTGCAGATCACATCAGTATGAAATGCATAACACAAAGGAATGGTGTCAGTGAGAAGGGCCACGCTGCTTTCTGTTTGATGGCAGGTTGTGTGCTGCAGCTCCTCTTATTGCCTCGGTCTTCAACGTGTGTGCGTGCTTCCTGCCAGTGGAGCAGTTAATGCAGCAGGCTGCATGCCTTCCTGGGCACAGAGAGTGTTTGGGATGGAATTATTCTGGTAACTCGATCCTGGCTACTGTCTTTCCCATGGGCTCCTCTGCCTCTTCTCCATCACAAGCTGTATGTGCACCTGCCATACGACAGGGAGCCAGGGACAGGCTCTTGCTGCTATCAAAGCACTACACCTGGCTTGCAGCTCATGTTTGCAGGGAATGAGTGTCACCAAGAGCTCAGTGAATTACCCAGGCGAGGTGAACGCAGCCTGGAGACTGAGAATTAAGGCTGCCTGTTATGGAGGCATGGCAGGATACAATGGTAGGTAATGCAGTGCAAGCTTGGACTCATTAACTGGACTCACAGCTGATCAAAGCTGTGTAAGAGCTTTTCTGACAAAAGAGATGTTCTTGTAAATGCATTCTGCAATCACACATTTTGACTCTTAAACAGGAGCAAAATCCAGAGTTGGAATCCATAGGAAATAGTTAGAGCAGGGCTGTTAATGCCATCTCTGATTCTTTTTGCTGGAGTATCTGTCTGTGCTGCAGCATGACAGCACTCCCTGCAGTGACTCTTCCTTCCCTTTGCAAATCTTCCGCTGAGGCATGATTGCAATATTAGATCGTCAGCATCAATTTTAGAAGTTCTGAATTCTGTAGCAATTTAAAGCCCTGAGCAGCTGGAGGAACCTGGCATCTTGTAATCCCTCAAAGGGAGTGATTATGATCACAGGAGTAAACTTCTTATGTGCTGTCAAACTTGTCTTCAGGCAAAGGGCCGTATGCAGCGATAGACACAATTCTTAGGAAATTTTGCATGAATTTTTTTGTGTATTGTGTTTTAGGTATATACCTGCAATGTTCTGCTGACTGTTGCAGTGGATGCATAGCAGGAGGCAAGTCATTTTATCAGTTGCAGGTTTTCTTTTCTTGACACTTCTGTCTTCCTCAGTTTTTCTACCCAAACATACTACAGTTTTGCCCCCACTGGCAAATTTCCCAGCCTCATACAGCTTGTGTGTGACATCTTCCTGTGGCTGTACACCTTCTATAAGCTTCATGAGCCAATATTAATAAGCAATATGAGAATAGCAAGAGGCTTTGCGGTTTTGAAACTTATTGCATTCCTGACTTCCATCTTCTGTCTGAAAGATGTTTTCAAAATTGTCAAGGAGCAACATTTTACCTCTTAAGTATGTCCCATTCCTCTAAATTGGGATCTCGTGGGACCACCTCCTCTCCCTCTTTCACGAAAGTGGGCACTGGAAAGGTGCTGCCAGTTGCTTGAGAGAATGGGATGCTTAGAAAATGGGACTAATCTACATTGTGAGTCTGCTTTCAAAAGACAGCTGGATGCATGAACCTTTCAGTTATAGGGATACATGTTGTGGAGACTTCTGATTAGCAAGCCTGCCATCACGCAATCTCCTCGCCAACTTCATTTACGCTCGTCCTTCAAGATGGCTTTGTGTCATCGAATATTCATGGAGAAAACTACAAACACAGATGAGGGTAATCAGTGCAATAATTCAAGTGGCTTTTTTTTTGGCCAGAAAATGTTTCTGTGGCAGCTGTGCTGCAGTGGTGCCTCGTAAGTCTTTTTCCATTCAGGGAGGATTAAGGCCATGCTGCTGAGACAGCGGCTGTGCTATCAGAGGGGGGGACCTGCTGCAGGAGAAATTCAGTTATCTGATTGAGATTATCTGCCTAACTGTTGACTGAAAAAAACACCACACCAATGTTCCTTATGTCCTGGTCAATCCTTTGTTTCGTGTTGAACTACGTGTTAGGAAAGTCATGTAGCAGCTGGGAGGCATTTTTTAGCTCAGTGTCAGGCACTTCTGGTACAGGTTGTGGAGGGACTGACAAAAAGCGAGCAGGCATTGATGGATGGGAGCCCAGCACGGTCTTGGACAGCTCTGTCTGATGGAGCAAAGAACATAAGTGCCAGAGATGATCTAAACAACAGGAGGAAGAAAAGGGCTAGTGCTGTCAGACACATATGACTGCTGAGGAGAAAAGCTATCTTGTAATACCAAGCACAGAGAAATTCAATAAGTTCACTTTGAGTGTCAAAACATATTGCCGAACAAACTATCCGTAGAATGTGGCAGCACAAGGGAATAAATGTAATCACAAAATAGTCAATAAGATAGAGTGAAAAATATAAAATAAATGCTATGCAGTAGACAAATGTGGAAATATTGTTAGTACCAGTAAACAACAGAGTATTTGATGTCTTTCACAAGCAAAGCAGAGAAATAGTGCTTTGCATTCTTCTGTATAACTTGTGTTGACTGAAAATGAGAAGGATATAGATAACAGCTTTATATCAAGGTTTAGACTATGACTAGAATATAATCTAGAATGATCTTATATTTCATGAGCTGTAGCTTGAAGAGGTATGATGAACTCTTATTGGCAGAAGCAGAACAGTGGAAAAAAGATCCAATTTGGAAGGATTTTGCAACTGTCATTAGGCTCCCTGTTGAATGTGAGCAAATTCCTCCAAATCAGCAAGCCTCCAGAGAAATGATCTTTTTATCTTGTGAAAACAGAGTTTTCTGACTGTTTCATTTATATACCTGCATTTTAACTATATCTTGTTTAATTGCTCATACAGAAAACAAACCAAAACAACAGAAACAACAACCCACCTTTAAATCCATTCAAAATTAAAATATTTTGGTCTTAAAAGAAGAAGGTTGACTCTGAAATTTGGAGGAAGGAAAAGAATCAAAGGGACACTGTAGCACTGGAGCACCAATTATACAGAGTATCCCCAGGGAACTGAAGTACAACATCAAGGGAACTTTAGAGTCAAGACAGATAAGGCAGTTAATTCTACCTATGTGTTTCCAAAAATGTTTCCAGAGGTTGTGGCTAACTAGGGAGAGTGTAGTGCTAGGGCTACATCACTGATTACGTGATGGGGGTGGTGACAGAAACCCAGCAGCATAAATGAAATTACATTGCCTATGCAGAGAGATTACAGAATAATGCAAACATTCATGTACTGCAACTCATGGTGGATTAAGTCAGAAAGTGACAAAAGAAATGCAGCTTTTGCATATCAGGAGTGATTGCTGCTTGCAGCGAGTAATCAGAAAACCCACGAGAGAAGCTTATTTAGATCTTAGTAGTGCATGGGACCTGATTCAAGGAACAGTTATCAGAGAACCACTTCTGGAGTGAGCCAACACAGTTGTTGAGAAGGAAGAAGACCAATAAATAAATAAAGAAATCCACTGCAGTAATATTTCACTTTCAGAGAGAGAGCAGATAAAAATGAGGAAGTGAGGTAAAATGAAATCGAAATTAACAGCTTAAAAAATGTAATGCAGATAGCATAGATACAAGTAAAAGTGTATGAAAGACTCTGAATAATTATGTATAAGCAATTTAAAAAATTTAAAACAAAAGAATTTATAAAAATGAACTATACTAAAAATAAAACAAACCCAGCCTAACAGGCAGAATAAAGAAGACTTCAGAAAGACACACCTCAAAAGTGTAAGTTAGGTCAATTGAGAAAGATAGGGAAAAATGCATAAAATTATATCAAGTTAAATATAAACCACAGTGTTTTAAGAATAAACTTGCTGCAGACATAAAAGTTATTTTTTTTGTGTGTTAAAATAAACACACCAGAAGCAGAAGGCTTCACAAAGAGATGATTGGTTAGATAGGCAATCAAGGTATAAAAATCCTGAATGCAAAATTAATTGTGTGCACTGATGTTCGCAACAAAGGAGGTTAGAGAGATCCTCACAAACTGAGGAAGATTCCAAATGTCTCCCATCACCTGAAGGTGTTTTAGAAGACAAAAGTAATATTGAACAATAGGAATTGGTAGGTGGTAGTGTTCACCCAAACAGTGTTTTGAAGGAACTCAAATATGACATTTCTGAATGAACAACTGTAACACAACCTGTCACTTATGTCAGCCTTGATGCCAGAAGAAATGTTGTCGCCATGACACCAGTTCTTAAAAAGGACTCAAGGGCTGAGCCGTGTCATAACAAAATACAAAGCACACGCATTTTTATGCCACTGTAAAAGATCCATGTTGTGCTCTTGTCTAGAACATGCTGTGCAGTTTTAGCCCCGCCAATTCCAAAAATGACCTTGTAGAATCAGAAGAGGGCAGGAACAGCACAGGTAATCAGAGATCTGGTGTGGCTTTTATATGTGACAAGATCAGACTTTGCCAAGTCTATATAGCTGTAAATGGTATAATGGATGGAAAAATGGTTGTATTATTCCCTGTTTCTTCCTAGGGAGGTACACATTTAACCAAATAAAAACAATGAAGGCAAACAAAAGGAAATGCACCTCACTCGTGTCTTTAAAAAGTGAAGTGTGTTGCCATAAGATGTCACTGAGATCAAACTTATGACGGCTGTGTCTCTCTTCAGCACCACAGGAGGCTCCAGCTCAGAAAGCCATGTTACAGCTCGGAACTGGGACGGCAAACAGGAAATCCTTCTATCTTCACCTGCTTCTTCCCGTTTTCCATAAATTGCTACTTGTGAGCACTGCTGAAGTTTGAGGCATGAGAAGCACTTTGGTCAGCCCAAATAAGGTTACACGTTCATGATGCTATAGTAACGATAACATTCAACAGGAAAAAAACTTCTTTTTATTTGCAACAGGTTTGGATTTTGATGGAACTCAATAGACTTGAAAGTTTTTTTAAAAAAGTTTCAGGCAGCCTTTCAACATGCTCTAATCCTACTCTTTCTTTTGGTATAATCTCAGCTGATTTAAAATGATGTAACTGACATAACAAGCTGCATTTAGAAAAATTGTCATTTTCATGTTCAGATGTATTTTGTGCCCTGTTTGGATGATTTCTGGGTAGCAACTGCATGATATATACATGTATGCACATGTATGTTTATATATGGTATGTATATGTACATAAACATGTGTATGTATAGAAATACATATCAAAATAAATTCAAACTGGTAAATCTCCCCATTTTTTCCAAACATAACTTTAAAGGATTAATTCTGTGGGCAATGTTCACTTTTTGATAACATGGGGAAAAGTAAATTCTCTTACAAAATGTTTTTCCTCTGCTTTTGAAATTTCATTTTTTTCTACTCAGTAGGAATTTTATCATAATTTCATACCCCCACACTTCACGGTTTGTTACTTGGTTTATTACTCTCACATTTAACTTGATAAGGTCCTGCTTCCTGTGATACTCATTTTTGAGTCTTGATTCCTCACAGCTGCTGCTTTGAAGTCTTAGATAACATTCTGAGCACTGCCCATTGCTCCTGGTTTTAAAGTTTTCATTCAGGGCAGTACATATCTCTTTCTCCCACATAACTTTTCTGTAAATTTTTATATTCTAATATTCTAGAAATGAATGTTTTGCTTTTAATCAGATCAAAAATCTGGACTTTTTTCTTAAAAGAAGCTAGTAAGTTCTGTCAAAAGAACTGTTATCTTCTTCAATGCTTTCTTCAAAGGAATTTGAGTCTTACTCAGGCTAGGAGGATCTGAATTGTTGTGTATATCATACATGCATGAAGGGAAGAACTGATGCTGATGTTTGTCTTCACAACCTCTCTTTCAGCATCGTGTTCTGTTTGACTTAATCTTGTCCAAGACGAGGAAATGCAGCTGCCAATAACTTCCTTTGGATGATATGAAAGAGTTCTGGAATAGTATGTGTGGAATGGTGAGTATGCACGTTGTTTAATGGGTATTAGTTGGAAACAGGCAGATATAAAAATCCAGTTTTTGTCCTCACTTTCCCCCTTAAACACAGAGATTAACAAGATTGCATGTGACTCTGGACTGCAGGTCAACATCAGGGACAAACTTCCTTATCAACCTTTAAATCTAGTTATTAATAGCAAGGATTTAGTCTGTTTTTTTTTTTTTTGTTTGTTTGTTTTTTTTATTAATTTTCTTCAATGGACAAAATTTCAGTAATGACCTCACCTGATACTGAGGTTGTTTCAAATCCAGAAGCAATAAGGATGTATGGGTGGAGAGCTGAGTGAGCTCTCAGCTGGAGCAGTACGGCAAATATTCCCACTGTTTTCCCTCCTGTGTGTGCTCTTTATGTGAAAGGAACCCTTTTTCATTCCTTAGCCCTTTCTATGCAGTGCCCAGGGATTTGTCCATGGATGCAAGCAAGCAGTTCTCATGCAAAATATTTACAAGCAGGTAATAGCACAGGTATGCATGCTTACAATTAATGTGCTCTTAACCTTGTCAAATTATACGTATTGTGTCATATAAGAAGGAAAAACTTTTCCCAAAATTAATCTTCCTTCAGGGTCATGATACGGGCAGAACTTTAATAATGAAATATTCTTATTATACAAAGCTACTTACAGATATTAGCAGTGCCCTTAGGTATAGGCAGATAAGAGCCAGGGCTCCACGGTCGGCCCTGGTAATTCTTCTTGCATTTTCCACAGTCTGGGCCAGTTGTGTTATGCTCACATTCACAAAGTAGTCTTTTGTTTTCTTCTTTACAGCCAGTAGCGTGAAGGTTGCACTTACACCTGTTTTTAAAAGGCAAAAATAAAAGAAGTAGGATATTATTTAGAGCTGTGTTTAAATTGAGATTAATTTTTACTAAAGCACATTCTATGGCAACCACTCTGCTTCTCGGCATAGCGACTCGTGATTGTTTTAACTTGTTTCACAAGACATTGCTCAAACAGCATGTTATATTATCTTCAACTCACACAGGTCTAACAGCACTAATTTCACCAAGACTCCAAGATGCTGAATCTTTTCTTGTTTTCACTAACGCAGCTCCACTGAGATCAACTAAATTATTCATAATTTTCACTACAGACAGGTCTACAATCTTGCAAAAATTCAGGCGTTACTTGCTACTCATGGATAAAAACAAGTTCTCTGTTTGTGTCCTTAGAGACTCTGGCCCAAATTAAGATCTGAATTAGGCCCTGGGAGTCTGAGAAAACAGGCTTGAATTAAATATCCTCTACAATGGCACACTTCAATAGAAGGGAACGTTGAGAAATCTAAGCTCAGTGTAATGGTGTTTTGCCAGCACTTGCTGGACAAGAATGTCTTGCTCAGAAAGCAATTTTTTTTCCCCTGTTCTAATTTGATATAATTGTAGTAGCTGAAGGTCGGAGGAAATATTTTAGTAGGTGTATTGTTTTAGTTTAACTCAGGAAATAACACCTAATCAAACCTTGTGCAAAATCATTAGATAAATGAGATTCTGTATCTGTTCCTCGAAAAATTGTATTTCCTTACACTCCTCTCTTTGCCTGAAACTAGGACATGTACAGAATGGGAAAACTAGCATCATAAGCAGCATTTTGTTACTTTTTTTTTTCCCCATACCTTTCCAATAAGTGTCAGCTATGGCTAAAATCTGTTTCTGTTTGGGGCTGGAGAGAAAACTGCTATTTAATGACGCCGGCTGTTTGTTTTCCTAATGACTGTACATGTAGTGATTTAAAGGGTTCTCATGTGGGCATTTGTCACCTGTTCCATACACTGACCAATAATTAGAGCAAAACAACACACGAAATGGCCAAGTGCAAATTAACAGCTGTCAAGCTGACTTCCATTTGCAAGGAATATGACCTGAAGCAACTGGTCACATACATATATATCCCCAGGGTAAAACAAACTTGCAGTTGTCATAAGTGGCTGCTGAAGAAAATCTACAAGAATCTGTAATACAGTAGATGGTGTAGTATTCTCTTCGGTGCTAGGAATGAGGCACATGAAACTGCTCCTATTTGAGCAACACTCATTCTAAAGAAAAACAAGATTGGCACTGTTCAAATGGAAATTACCAAAACATATTAGACACGCCAGACATAAGAAAATGTGCTTCATTTTTATATTGTTTCCAAAATGCTGTTGTTTAAAGACTTGCATCAATTGTGAAGTAAATTTTCCATGATTAGCCCCTGGAGAATGAAAGATACCTGTCTGGAAATCAGTGTATGAGATATGCCCTGCTATGCAGAGATCTAAGTTTTTGTTAAATGGCACTGCTATTAAGAAAAGTGATGGGTTGTTTTTCTGTGCATAGGAAGATGAAAATAGAAGACTCCTGAAACGAAGATACACACAGTCATGATAACACAAAATAACCTAAGGGGTCAGAGGAGAAGGAAGCAGTGAGTGTGTAACCACTGAAATAAGTGAGAGACAGGAACCAATTTGCTTTCTTGCAGGGGAAGATTTCTGGTTTGTTGGAGGGACATCGCTCTGAGAAAGCAAACTGATCTAGGCAGAAAGAAATGCTGAGGGAAAGCTGAAGTTGCTAGGGCTCTGGAAGACTGCTGCATAGTGGTAAGGAAACAGGTGAAGGAAATAAGTGTAGGTACATCTGCTAATTGGTGTCAGTGTACATGGCTCTTTTAACAAGCACGTGAAAGTAAATTGGTTATATCAGAAAATCCTGTACAGAGTCTGCTTGCCCTGCTTCTACTTTGTTCCTGAGCAGCTGACCCTACTACCCTTGAACAGCTAGGTTACCTATGGGGGGATACAGGCCTTGAGACAGGTGTCTGCCTGAAGGGAATAGTGGCTGCTTGTTAAGGCTGGTGAGTTTTTTCTAGACTTCTTTTTTTTATTATTTTATTTATTTATTTTATTTTATTTGTGGGAGCTGCTTTGTGCTGAGCTTGTGAAAGTCAACACCAAGTCCCCACAACAGTTCTCTGTTTGGAAACTTTCATCCTGATGTTTCTACAGCTCATCTGATTTCCATCTTTCCAGTTCAACCTGCGAGAATGTTTCCTGCCTAGGCAGCCTGGTTACAGCACACACGAGAACACATTTCCCTCCAACGTGCAAATCCAATTTCGAATCACTGGAGATTGATATTGCTGTCCAACACTATAAACTCTAATTGTGTAGGAGAACAAATTTGTTTTTCTGACCACTCATCTTTGACAGACTCATTATTTTGTCATAAAGCAATTTAAATGATATTTTTGGCAGTTATATAAGGTGTAGGAAGCATTCTGGCGTGTTCAAGGAACAGCTCTGTTTTAGTGGGAGCAGGAGCCCTGGGCGCGCTGCGTTCCTCACAGATTCTATTTACATATAGACAACTGACATTAAAATGCTGTAAATATCGCCAAGGTAATTGCTAATAGCGTGCTGATTCACTTGCATGTGAGTGCCAACCAACAGACTGGGGGGCACATGAGGGGATCGTTTATGTTGAAGGGATCATTCATGAGAAAGAAAGACAAGAGAAGCTCTGATACATTTTTATTTTTTTTTTACAGCTAGCCATATGTTCCTCACTTAGATACATTTTTGGATCATTCTAGGTCATAGCTAAAGTTTAAAAAATAGTCTTAAAACACACTTGCAAGCCCTCTATATGGATTCTTAATTGTTAGATGCCATGGGTCAGCTCTCTGCACCAATTTAAGATCTTGCACAAGGTTTGGCGTGTTTGTTCTTGACTGCCCACACAGGGTGGTGTGCACATGACATAAAATACCATCCCCACAGGTTTAATGCGGGAAGGCACTGCCTACAAGAGGCATTTGAAAACAGACTTAGCAATGAAGTCACCTTAGTGAGCTCCTCAGTGCTAGCAGCTACTTCCAGCACCTCGTTGGTTGTCCTAAAGGACCCGGTTGTTTTGAGCATGACATCAAAGGTGTTAATGCTGTCACCTACGCTATCCCTCTCAAGGTTACTAATGACCTTGAAGCATCTTCGCCAGTGGGATCCAGCTTTCTAATATGATTTAGCCAAAGAAAGAAATTCTATGTTGTAAATACATTTTAAGAGATGCCTCAGCAATGAAAGAGGAAGAGATATTGTCCTCTTGATAGGTTAAGAAAGCAGAAGTTAAAATATATGCACCTTTAAAACATCATGAAATAGTTGGGATAAAGACAGCTTCGTATCTGAATTATTTTTCTTTTGAGATTTACATCTAGGGTGTTTTTTATTTAAATATTTTCTTTGTCACTTTATGAGGCAAACTTGTCATGACTTGAGAAACTGTCTGTACAGGTAAGTGCCAAAATTCTTGTACTGCTGAATGTAGAAGGAAAACAACATGAAAATACATACATAAAACTGTTTTCCCTTTAAATCTCTCATAACAAGTGGAACATCTTTTTATAGAGGGCTCATTTAGTCTCAGAAACCTCATGTCTGTTGAATACTGTTATTCATTATCACCCATTACATCATAGGATTTTTCCATGTCATATCAAAAAAAAAAACACCCCAAAGCACACCAGTCCTTATCCTGATTTCCAAAGCTTAATAAAAGTCTACACGGCTTTACTATTGAAGCAGATTTTGTGGGGATGAAAACAAGTATAAAGGGTGCTATTGTGAAGAAATACAATGATTGCTGGCCAATTTATTTCTGCGAGGATAGAGGAATAGACAGTGAGAACACACACATAAAAGAGGTAACAGATAATTACTGCAATCTAGGCTACCAGTGCTCTCTGCAGGGACTAGCCATCTGAGGGAGTTCTGAGCTAAAAGGGTCAAAACAAGTAAGGCCAGGTGGCAATCAGAAAATGGCCTGGGTTGCTGGCTTTAAGTAGGTCTGCGGAACAAATGTTCCAACTCGTGTGAAGCAGAAAAGTCAATTCTGGTTTTTATTCAGTGTTTTTGAGCCATATGAATATGTCAGGTCCATGATGCTCTGCAGAAAAAAAGACCAAAAAAAGAACTCCATCTTTTTTTCTGGAAGTTATGGATAAGGCCTCTGTAGTCTGCTGCTACACTATAGATGCTTAATGAGAGTAATGAAATGTGTGTCCTTTGTTTCACTTGTTTATTTTTGGAAAGGCACTTGGTTGCCAGTCTTTTTCCATGAATTTATCTAATACGTCATAATCTCCCACTGAAAGTAAGATTCCTTTGTGGAATGGGGCTACATCAATAATAAGGGATAAAAAAATTCAATAATAACAAATATAACTTTGTATAGGTAGATATACTACTTTTTCATTTGCAAATCAAGGACTAATGTTGGATCAGGTTTTTAAGCTTCTTAAATCTGTAAGTAGCTTTGTGGCTGGAAAAGAAGTTTAACCTGTGCTCAGTAATCCTACAGCACCTCGGTACCTAGAATCCAGAGATTTACAGAAGCCTCTTCAACTTTGTTCTTTACTGTTTTCTTTGCTAAATTTGGGAGGAAATTGAATTAGATTCCCACAGGCAGTATGGAAAATTGGGGAAAATAGCTTCTTATTCCCCCTCAGATGAGTTTAATGTATCTAGCGGGGAGCAGCAAAACCCAGACTCAGAGAGCATGTTTGCTTTGCTTTGCTTTCTCAGTGGCCTACTTGCAAGCAGTTTAGAGAGCTTGAAATTAAAAAAGAAAACAAAGTCCAAAAGAGCAGCATAATTCCCTTTCCCATAGGAGTGAGAACTTCCTAAGATACATACAGAAAATATAACGTGCAGGGCATGGAATTGCCCAGTTTGCGCTGAGCCAGCCCAACAATAAGAGCACGCAAGTGCTGAATTTAAATATTTACGCCTTTATATGATTTATTGTGTTCACACGCTAGTGAAAGTTTTGGTAAGTTCTGATTATTTAAATAGGAGCTACCGTCAAGTTAAATGCTGGTCAATACGAACACGAACTGCATGATCACTTCTGATCGATCCACGTCTCAGCCTGTAACTGATGAGTTCACGCCTGGTAGATGCTCGCTGCCTTCCTTTTGAAGGCCAGCGCTAGCGGGGCCACTGCTTCTGCTCTCGCTGCTCCTTCCCCTAGCCCCTCGTGGACAGATGGCCCCAAGCACTGGAGCCCTGCTCTTCTGAAGAGGCAGAGGCCGCGTCCAGCTCTAATGTCAGCTGAGGGTTCTCCTGCTGCACATTTATTCTCCAGGTGCTTACGATAATCTTAAAATCAAAGATAGCATATTTTCTGCTATTATTGCAAAGTATAACTTCATTAACTGTAGTAGCTGAGGAACTAATCCCCTAACCTCAGAATCCCAGGATTTTCACTGCTAGAAATACAAAGCCTGCTGCCAAAACTTGAGTCAAATGCCTGGCTTTGGCACAATCTTCCTCCTACCTCAGATAATGTACAATACAGAGACTTTATTTAGGGCAACAGTGAGGGCACAGGTTTGAACCTACAGAAGCGTTAGGCGTACTTTTGCCAAGCAATTACTGAAAAAAATCATTTTATTTCTCTCATAGACCATTTAAGCAGTCTGGTAAGTATGGTTAAGGAAATACGCTGGCTTTTAGAAAATGTTTAAGATTTATGGCTGACAGAATCGTACAGCTTTACACAGAGTATTCTTTGGTGCTATCATTTTTTGGAGTTTACTGTTACTGTAAATCAAAGTTATCTTGCAGAAAAAAACACAAGATTGCAGTAAAACAAAATCAGAATTGGTATTTCTAAAGAACTATGAATAGCAGATAGATCACCAAATGCATTTTTTAACTCATGGTTTTGAAAAGATGTATCTCATTCACAGAACTCAAGTGCATACAGTAAAAGCCCCTGGACATCATGCTAAATAGTATCTTTTAGGTATAAAAAAAGTAATTTCCTAATGCATTAAAGAGTTCATGTTATGTTTTAATACACTTGTATGTTGAACAGATTTTATATAGCAGTAAGGATTGCAATGAAATGCTTGCCTTTGTCATTTGCCTTTTCCCCCAGAGTATTTTTACTATATAAATAAAGTAGTTATTTGGCAATATGCTGTCATTTTCTTTTATTTCTCCGCTTTCAGAAGTTTATATCTGGCATTACGTTCAGCATACAAAGTGTTGGCCTGAGAGACAATTTTGCCTCTTTCATCAAACCACAATCCAGTAGATTTTGCTTTATGTAATGTTATCATGTGATAACAGAATTAAATCTGCAGCTTCGGCAGCTGATCAATTCAATTATTAAGCTAAAATAAAAAATAAGCAGCAATTTAGAAAGATCAGAGGCTGGAACATTTAGTATCTATGAAGGTAAAACATTTATTTAAAAGTTTTTTTTTTTTTTAATATTTCAGTGTCATCCTCAGAAAACAATTTTACACAAATTAAAAAAGTGGTCCAAACACTCAAAAACCGTCTCCCTCCTGTTCATCGTTATGTTCTCCTCTGTATCTGCTGTAGAACAGAGAAGTTATTCTCATGATATTTAGTCTTGTGCCACAAAATAAACTAAGTGTTCCTGAAATGAGTTAGTTTACTAGATGACGTCCTTCAAAACAGAAAGCAGCAACTGAAAATGTTTACAAGCTAGATCAACTACACTCAGAATGCAAATAGAGAAGGGTGGAGGCAGTAATAGTAATCTATTAAATGTCTTAAAAACAACTAAGAATTTAAGCATTTCAAACTTCTGATTCTAGATTAAAAAACAAACACAAAAAACAACAGATGTGGAAATGCTCAGTTCCTTCAGTTTTGTAGGTCCACAGTGTAAAAATAATTCAATGATGCTTGTACCCAACAGAACAGAACAATTAATTCTAAGTTATTTCAGTTTACTGCATTAAAAATACCTATATTTAACATTAGATACATAGATACACCTAGCCTAGTGGAATGTTCTAATCCTAGTGGATTTTTCTAATTTTCATTTAAAGTTCTCTTGTAAACAGTTGCAAAAAAAAAAAAAAATATATATATATATATATATGTTTTAAGGCATCTGTTGTTTCATAAAGCAATGCAATTTAGGAAAGGGAGTTAGATACTATTTAATTTAGCCCTACCCAAACACCTTAGTAAGGCTGGGAACCCACAAATGTGCTTGAGGACTTTGTTTATCTTAATCTGTAAGAAATTTTTCCAGCAGTAGAACAACAACAATGCTATTCCTATGTCTCTTTGTGAATCTGTATGAAAACACTCATTATAGTGTCTAAGTGCTAAAGCTGGAATACATCTGCCTGCCATATAGCTGTTGTTAGCTGTTACAGAGACCTAACTTCCATCCCCTTCCCAAATATTCATTTTTTCTTTTTCTTTGGAGATATTAGTTTTCATGCAAATGTGTCAATAAAGAGAGTGGCTATAAAATCTGCACGAGTTTGCCAGCAGCATGTTCCACAAATAATTTCACCCGTGAACACATTCTTAGCTGATGTAAATCCATCTGGCTGCACTAGAATCAATGAAATTATGTTAGTTCACACTGTCTGAAATGTGCTCTAAATTGTTTCCAGCTTTCATTCATATTATTCTAGGCTCAGTGGCTGTATTTTTAGAGTTGAGTACAAAATAATGGCAGATAATCTTTTTATTTTGAATGGCAGATCTGAGAGCACGGGATGGAAACTGGGGGTGAATGGAAGATAGGAAGCCCAGGTGTGACGTGCTTGTAAGGACGCAGCTGAGGAGAAGGTAGGATGCTGGTATTTTACACTTTTTCCATGCATCTGTTGTGCTCTAACCTTTAGCCTCAGAAAGGGGAAGCTTTTATTATCTGCTTGGAGGATGCCAAAACTGGGGTGCATTGCAGCCATGCCTCTCCTGGAGAGGAAGCAAAATCTCTCACGAAGATGAAGATGAATAATGACAGTTTCATGCGGTGCTGCCAAGTAAACATTTAATGCTAGTGATTGTTTTGGTAGGTTCCCAGACTACTGCTGAAGAAGGGAGAAAAAACAGCGGATGTAAACTGTTGTTTTCAGTTGTAATCAGTGTTACAATTAGTTCCTCTCTTTCCCTTTCTCTCTCTAGAAATTTTCCTTCTGTCTCGCTGGAATCTCTTTGGTCTCATCTACAAAGTTCCTGTACTTCACACAGTGATCTCTCTCTTGCCTGCACTGATAGGATGGGACGGGAGCGGGGGAAGCACATCTGCTGCAGAGGTACTACACAGCCTAGATGCTCGGAGTTGTCACGATGTCTCACAAGGGTTTTAATTGGTTTGTTCTAAATACCAAGAACAACTAGGGGAGAGAGAAGACAACAACTGAAACTTTCCTCAGTAACTGTTAACGTAAAGTAACTTTCCTCAGTACTGTTAAGTAAGCGTTAATGAACCGTGTAAGTGGAAAAGTGCTATTGGGACAAGAAGGCAGCTCTGTCTTCCCCAGCTGGAATAATGTAATCTGCTTGGCAGCACCTTGTCATTGTCTGTCTGATCATGCAAAAATGTTCAGGACCGTGCTGAATGAGATTTGCCTTTTTTTTTCCCCCCCTGCTGTCCAACACTGTGCTTAGCCAGCCTTAGTTTGCCATCCATCCACTGGGCAGAAAGTCATTATCTACAAGTCAATACAGACGAATAGATATTCTAAACACAGCTTCTCTTTTAATCTCTATAATAAGTGGAACACATCCCACCTATTCCAGGCAGAATTCAGGCACTATGTCATAACAGTTGTTACGTTACCCATAGCAGGTCTGTTCCAGAACCTGTGAAGTTGTTATGAATGCAACACAAAAACCTCAGATGAAAGGTTCAGTAATGTAACACTACAAAGTTTTACAGCTTAACAGACTTAAAAGCAAAAGTTCAGAAGTCTTTAGGAGTCACTGTTTCTCCTCTTTTCCCATTTATCCTGATACAAATCTGAACATTACATTTGAAATTCCTGACATTGCATTAATGTGTATCAACACTTTTAACTTTCATAAGAAACCAATTTTTTTTTTTGTTTATTTGTTTTAATTTAATTAATACTGGTCTTACGTCTGCTCAGCAGCAATCCCAAGAAAGCTGCTCTAGGATGCTAGCGATTACACCAACCTTCCTCTCTTTATTTGGAAGTAGGATTTCACAGGATCAGCTGCCAGCTGGTACCCTGATTTTTTTTTTCCCAGTGCACCACTGAAAAGGAACAATTTGTTGTGTAGGAGGTCTAAAATTGTGGACATTAAATTACTGTCCAAGTAGATGTGCTTACGATACCATTCAGAAATGTTACTTAACTCTGCAGTGGGGGGGGAAAAAACCCTTTGTTCTCACAGGCAGAATTATGCAAAGCGAGCTGTTACAAATTTGTGTGACCAATTTATGTTGGACAGACGTCTGAGAAGCAGAAATACCTTCACTTTCTTCAGCGTAAGGAAAGACTCATGGTGTAGCACCTATTGTGTCACAGTAGGGAATAAAGTATTTTCATGACCCATTGTCGGGGAGCAGCATTTCTGCTACATGAGAAACAAGCAAGGTTAATTTCATACTGATTGCTGTAACTTTTTGAGGACTATAATAGAGAAAAGCAGCATAAAAATATCCGTGGTGTGCGCAGAATTCCACACCAGGGAAACCAGTTCTGTGAAGCAGTGCATCTGTTGCTCTTTTCAAAAGATTTTAAAGCATTTCTGTTTAAGAGACCTCCTGTGAACTCGTTTAAAGGCTCGAATATACCCCCGGTAGTTACTGCCGCAGGAATGGTATATATAGAAGGGCGGTGCATGGGCTGGAACGGCTTGCCTCCGAGGGAGAGAAAACATGCCTCAAGGTACTCCTGAGGGAGGAGCCGTCCACACAACCCCTAAATCAGCGACCCTGGGGATTGCCATCCCTTGCTGGGTGCCCCCTGCAGGAGCGAGTGCTGGCGGGGCTCAGGCTGCCTCCCTGCAGGGCCAGCAGCAATTAGGGCAGGGGCCCTGCGTGCGGGGATATGAGGTGCCTGCAGGGTGTCACACCCACCCCACTCACTCGTGCCATCGAATGCTGGGTTTCACTGGGCAAAATGAGACCCCTCGGAGAGCTCTGGTGCAAGGAGTAGCTCAGTCTGCATTGCGCCATGGTCAGCAAGAGGAAAGGCCTTCCTGCTGGTCCCGGTACCAGGGTTTTGTGAGGGGTGTTCTCCCCTGGGCTTTCTCTGATAGGCACCTGCTGCGACCAGCTCCACTTCGGAGCTCTTACTTCACGTTCATGTGCGGAGGAGAGAGAATTTTACTCAAGCAACAAAACCCTGAGGAGACTTCTGCCTCCATTTCAAAACCAACACAGAGAACAGTGTTTATATGAAGAAAATGAGTCCTAATTCAGAGAGAAGCAACTGCACAGTCGCATCATTTGCTGAAGGTGACTAATCCTGCCCAGGGAGCTCCCAGTGGTGCCCGCACTGCGTCTGCCTGGCTGGGGCAGGAAAGCGGAGCTGGAGCGAGGGCTGGGGGACTGCGCTGAAGCTTAGAGCTCGATCAGGAGACCCCACTTATCTCTTTTTGAAAGCTGCCAGAAAGCAGTCAGACTTTTCTCCAAAAAGAAAAGGAAAGCAACATAGTTTTGTTTCTTATTTTTCTTTTTTCTAAATATTCTGGCCAAGTTGGCTCTGCGTTTACCAACAATGCGCACAAACTAGCAATAAAACACATGTAAAGAGCAAAGGCCGCGTTCTCGTTCCAATTAAGTCCTGGTAATAAATATAGTCATGCATAACTTAAAAGTCCTTAAAAAGCCTAGAACTCCAGTGCTTTAAAAAGAAATGTACATCAAAATCAGACTTCCTTCTTTTCTCTTTTTATAGGAGGTGTGTGGGGGAAGGTAAAGAAATATCGCTAAAAGCAGACTTTAGTTTCAATGTCACTATGAGATGTCTGTGCACTGACAGGGCATTTGGGAAAGCCACCAGGATAACCAAGAGCTTAGCAGTGATGGAATTTATTTTGTTCTCTTCTGAGACTCCTCAGAGTCCTGACATGACACTTTTGGCATACGACTGGGTGACCTGCACTCCTGGTAGATATTTTAAAATGATAAATATATAAACTATTTTTGTATTGTACAGACACAGCTTAGCCTAAAACTAACACTTGAATCTGAGAAGTAGCTTCATATTCTTCTTTTTAGGCTTACACCTTCTCTTGCTCTGTACAGAAACCACTGGCCAAGACACATCACTGAAATCACTCTGAAGCACACCTTCTTACACAGGTAACATTTGTCCTGCTGCCCCCCCTGCTCCAGAGTTTTGCTGTTCTGCTTCTGGTCATTGATGTTACTGCTAGGTGTTAGTTGTGTTCAAGGACTTAGAATTGCATCTCTCCCTCTGCAGTTCTGCCATTGCTGTGTGTTACCAGAAGGAGAAAAGTACCTGGCAGGTTGCTCCGTGTGAGAGCTGCAGCATCCCAGCTATTGTTCTCTGCCCTGTTCTGACGGAAGCTCAGTCTGATGCTTCTCATAAAGGGTAAGGAGAAGAAAGAACTTGCTACATGGGCAGGTTAATTGATCTCTTTTTGAAAAATCACGTTGCTGAACTTTAACTTTAGGGATAATTATAAGGCACCTACATTCTTTTCAAAAGCACCTATTCTTTTTCGAAGTACCTATGTTCCTCTGTAGAGTGTGTTCTGAGATATTCATGAATAAACTATCAAAGCAGCAGGCTGTAAAACTAACTGTTCAGAGCAAATGAACCTGACTAAATATTTCAAAAGTGGTTTTGTTCTGGTGTTTTCTTGAGTTACATTAGGGTTGACTTTCAAAATGCTTGGGACTTGCGCCCAATTTAAAATAAATGGGAAGTGGATGCTTCTTACTGTTTCCAAAATGGACACTCCAAATCCACTTGAAAATATAGAGAGCTATTTTTTTTCTCTCTCTAGAGCTATTTTTTTCTCTCTCTCTCTATTTTTTTTTTTCCTTTCTTCTTAGTTTCATCGCGATTGGAGGTCACAATTTGAAAGAGAAAAGCGCCCAAACTGAACAGAACATTTCTCCTTGTTTATCATGCTAGCCTCCATTTTCAAACTTTTAAATTCCGTACAATATAAGCTCCTTGTCACAGTATAATTCCCTCTGGAATTATTGTGATAAGAATTATTTGCCAGTAGGGCTGTGCGAATAATTGATTATTCAGTTCACTGGCTGAACTGAAAAAAAAAACTGGGGGGAAAAAATCACTTGTGTCAAATGAAATGTGTGGTTTTATTTTCAGGTTTAAAATCTCTTTTCAGAAATTATTTTTGACATTTTTTTTGAACAAAAACATTTCTAAAGGAAAAATTGTGCCTTTTCTGAGGTTTCAAAAAAAAAATAATTAGTCAAAAGTATTTATTAATGTGGGTTGAATTCTGAAGATACTTTTAGCCATCCCTGACAGAAGTTGCTCTTGTGAATAATTTCTACTTCCAAATACCTGTTCTTTCTGCTGCTGAAGAAAACTAGATGAGAAGTGAGTGGTTTGTGTCTGTGCGTAGTGCTTGAAATATGCCAAAAGCAACTCAGCCTGCCATGGCTAACTTACTGAAAAAGAGCTACCGGGCCATCTTATCTCTAGCCCTGTTAGTATAACAACACAGCACAGTCAAATTAATTTAATGGGACTAATTTTAAACTATTTAGGAAATAAAGTTCTAACTGCATCTTCTCCTTTTGATTTTGGAAAACAATTATTTCACCTACTGTATTTCGTTTGCAAACTCTATCTAGCTGAAAGCTTGTTTTCTTTTTCAAAAATACCCTATGATTACTACTTAATTATAGACAGTAGTTAGTGTTGTGGTGAAGTCATTACATTGCCTAGGTTCTGCAAGCATTTTATTATGTGTTATTAAAGTCAGTGAGAAAACTACAAATGCTCTTTAGCATTAGAAAGATTGAGATAGATGGTACCATGGGTCAAATTTAATGGCTTTTTACCAATGGTAAATGTGAATGTAGTAGTGTAAGAGGTGGTCTGTGGGTACAGCTCCCAATGGATAACCTGGTCTCCTCACAGGTGGGTGGCCAGAGCTAGGCAGTCCTGTTCATTTATTAGATGCAGCTGGAAAGGAGCGCACGGACCTCAGGTAGGGAATGGGAGAGGAGACCTGGCTTCTGGCATTGGCCTTGGAGCAATGAGCAGGAGACTCGCGTGGGCACACACGTACACCTGCTGCTTGCAGTACCACCACCAGTGCTGACCGCTTTTCCTCCAGTGCCAGAACAGTTCTGCCCGTGGGTTTAGAACTTGCCCTCAGCCTCAGATTCACAGTGCCATGGGACAGGAGACAGTGCAGGTCTGTGTGAAATGAGGTTAATGATACTGCTTTGATATTATTCCTGAAGTTTAAGTGACAAAGGACCTGTAGTTTCAAAGTAGGGACTTAAGGCTGTGACCTAATGTCAGTTTAGAATAAAACAGCGATTGTTTTTGGCCTTCAAGTGTGCCGAAATATTTATTATCCATGTTTGTTTAATAAATTTTGGGTAAATCAAAGAATGTTAAGAAAGAAGCTGAAGCAAAACTGAACTGTCCACGGAGGGGTCAGGAGCACCTTTTGGACAGAGAAGTTTGAATTTGATCCAATGACTGCAATATTTGATATAGTAGAAGAACTAAACAACTTAATTTACATTTTAAATATCTCAAATCAATACTTCCCTTCACATTCTGCACATTCTCTCTCTTCCCCTCTCTCCCTAGGAAACAACTAAAACTGAAAAGTTAAGGAATAGATAGCAAGTTATGAGTAATGTAAGTTTGTCATAGGGCAAGCTGAAATACTGCTGACAAAAAACAATCAGTGTGTATTTATACTGAAGAATCAACCATTGCACTTTTATCTTGCCCAACACAGCTTTTGAAATCCTACACAAACTTTATCCTTTTCCCTGAAATGTTATGCAGGCTTCCTCAGCCTCAAACTCCAGTGGAAAATGTTATCGGCTGTTTCTGTTCTCACAGTATATTTGAGTTAAACTGGGAGCAAAATGTATGTGTATACATATACGCATAAAATAAAATAAAATAAACAACACGTAGCTCTAATGAACAGTACCAGAGAACTAGTAGATGTAAGCAGTGGAAGAACCTAGATATGAAGAAAAAAATAATTGTCGTTAATACCGGGATGCCTACCTGCACCCATTTGTAAAGCAGCAGTATATTGTGAGGAGTAGATCTAGAAAGATGCACTAAGGACAGGATCCTGTTGGGGCATGGTCAGATAGTGAATGATGGCTTCTGGCATTAAGGCTTTCTTCAGACTGTAGAGTTAAGAAGACCGCTGTTCATTTTTTGTTTGCACACTGGCAGAAAGCTGCCATCCAGTGAAAAGCAGAAGAGGGATTTGCCCTGAAGACCTGACTAGCAGGAAGAGACAAGGTGCATTGTGAGGCCCTAACAACAACTCTTGCATTGCAGAGCTTTATCCTTAATGAACGCGGACATAATTATCAGAAAGCTTCTGAATTATGCCAGTAAAAACAAAGAAAAAGGAAAGGATAATAGCCACATTATTAGGAAATATTTTCATAAGCAATCCTCCTGGGGATGAAGGAGTTGGTGTTTGTGTCTGATGTATTCCAGTGCTAGTGTTCTCGCTGCCAAACACTGAGAGCTGCAAAGGAGGAGGAAGGAGACAGTTCCACTGGGATTTAGGATGGTGCTCACAGCAGTCATGACCTCCTGTCACCACCATTACTTCTCCTCGTCTTTCCTCATCTATTCTTGTATGTGCTCAGCATCTCCGCCTAGTGACCTACACGAGCCAGGAGGGGAGGATTACACAGGAGTGCACCCAGGTCTTGGTAGAACTATTCTCTGCTTTCACGTTGCGCAGAAAACCTCAGGAGAGGGAAAGGGCAGAACTTTGTGGGTTTTATGCTATATGCAGTTTTATCATGATATACAGCAAATTGGCTGAACCAAATGACTTAGTGGCCATATAATCATATCACAGAGGGAACAAGCTTCTGGCATCTGTCCAAACTTCATGTAAGAGAAGCTGACTGTGTCTTTCAGAATACATCTTAATTCCATTCTTCTTCTATGGAAAACACTCGTGTTTTGTTTCAGTTTTACTCCTCCATGATAATCTCTGGGTTTCTGGGTGCTGAGCCTACCCCTGAAGATTAAGAACTATTATTATTATTTTTTTTTCAAATGGTCTTAGTTTGTAACCCCAGCAAAACCCATGCCAGAACAGCCATCGCCCTGCTCTCTGCTTTATTGGCACCTGCTCGTGTGGATGCGAGGCTGGACGAATGCTCTTGGCTGCTGCCTTTGAGTTTCTTAGGATGAAGCCTCACCTGCTCCTCACACCTGTCCTGCTTGCCTAATGCAATTATAGCAGCTGATTTTTTTTTTTTTTAATGTGCTAAGCGTATGAGGATATAAAGAAGTACACATGTTCTGTGTTATGAATTATGGCGAAGCGCCTGGGTATGGGGCATTGAGACTGGGGCTTTATGTTCCATTAATTACGTTGGTATTGCAGCAATACCTGCACGATTCTCAAAAAGGCTTCTCTTCTGTTACAGCACAGTCAGCCCGCGTTAAATTGCAGAAGCTGTTCCTGGGGATGAAGCAGAGCATAAATCTCTCCTCTCCACCACTCACAGGCAGGCTGAATGTCAGTTATACATTAACTGTGCATTTGTTAGTCAAAACCTGCGTATGACCACACAGTGAGGAGAGTATGAACTGTGTTAAAAGCGTATCCTTCTGGAATTGACTTGCAACCGTTTGTCATTCTGGTGGTATCACTCTACTGCATCTCTCCTATTTAAAGCATGTATATTTTATGAAGCATTAACAGACAAGCAAACATATAGACCACAAAACCCAAAGCCTGCACTATTCTCAAAGAGTAGCCATTGAAATGAAGAGAAATTGAAAATCTGATCTCTCAATATAGTGGCTCTGTATCTGTAAAAACAAACAAACACAAAAATTCTAGAGGTATATTTTAAGATACCAAATCTGAGATGTGATGTTCGTACGCGTCATTCACATGAAAGGACGAATCCAGGGAAGAATCACCACGTTGAAGGTTACCTCTGCAGTGGCTAACTGATGGGAAGGTAAAATACTGCTCTCTGGTCTGGGTGGGGAAGGACTCTGCAGTATTAAAACCCCTTATGAGATATGTACAGTGGAAGAGAAATATAAAGTTGTTATACTTCTCTGTTCTCTTCATTCAACTGTTTCTCTAGTCCCCATTCATGATTCTGAAGAAAAAAAATGGAAAAAAGGGATGAAATCCACTTTTTCACATCTAGCTCGTGGATTGGGTTAAACATTTTCAGCGGCAGAACATTAGCAGTTAATGACGCTCAGATTTTTTGATCTTTAGCTCATTAATAGCTGTAACAAACCATTCTGGAACCCAGCTTCCCATCTTTCAATTCTTTTCCTGTGTTGCAAAGGGGAAAGAGCTGCCCTTGCTGGCAGGCTGCAATTCCTACGGGACATGAGTGATTAAAAATGTAACTGGCTCCTTGCTGTTTTGCTGTCCTGCTGGAAGAATTATTTTAGGAGCATTCAAAGGAAAGAAGGCATGGTTCCATAAGCACAGTGTCTTTAATGATGCCTGTTAAATGACAAGCAATTTTCTGCATTGACAAAGAATAAAAGGTTTATTTATCACTGAAAATTGAGATGTTCCTGGTTTTCCCTTTTCTCTGCTCCTCACATCTCATTTTTTACTTCTCCTGATGAAGGTTTCCACGCCTCTTTTGAGCCACACGGGCAGCGATTTCCCATGTGATACCACTGAAGGAGTGCTGATCACCAAAGAGAGAAGTGAAAACCGGTTCGAAATGAGCAGCTGGAGCTATGTGTGGTGCGGAAGGAGGGTTTCCCAAAGTGGGTCACCGACAAAACAGATGCCTTCTCATATCGCAGCTCTGTCCCCTGGCCCACCTGCCCTCTCTGCACCTTGTTCCTGCCCGCTCCTCTCCCCCTGCTGTGCTGAAGGGCAGGGGAACTGCTGTGCTGTGCTCTGATGGGGGGAGATGATAACGTTTTGAAATGTTCTTTCAAGTCAATTCCTGATTGTGCTTACGTGGCAAAATCCACAACCCTAGCTCTAAGCAAGGGAGAATCGCCCCACAGTTCAATAAGTATAATGAGAAGATCTAGAGCCAATTAAAATGTGATGAGGCTATAGAAATGCAGCCAAGGTATGCAAGGCTAAAAAAACCTCAGACCTCTCAAATGACCCTCCCTCTTCCCCCAAAACAACAGATGGAAAGCATCCGATTGCCAGGACATTTGTGTCACAGTGAATGCTAGCAGCATACATCAAATAAAACCCAAAGGCTCGTCTACCGAGGGCGTGAATTTAATGTTCCCTCTCTCGCGCACAGGGCGACCAGAAGGTTCCTGGAGTCCAGTTCGTGTTTGCCTGGCTTGGCCTGGCTGTTCTGAACAAAAACGATATAGAAGTATCACCAAATCAAAGAAGTCGAAATTAATATGTTTATAATGACTTTGATAAACACCGTCCCCCAAACTAAAGATTCTTAATGCAAGAGAGAGTTAAATGGGAAAATGAATAACATCAGTTTTACCAAATATAAAAGTCAGAAACAATAAACAGTCCTGCTACTGTTCTGTCTCTGGTAACTTGCATTAAAATATATATAAAGCATTCTGGGAACTGAAGCAATGCTTCAGTTCAATAAAACTAATGCAATTAAAGAGAAAGAATCCTGTTTTTCCCCTGCTTGCAATTTAAAATGAGAGCTTCCTAAAACTTGTGACCATTGCTGGAATCCAATTGAGGACCCCAGCTTATCAAATTCCCAGCGCTGGCACCATGCCTTTGAGGTATTATAAAGCGCTACTCATCCCACCAGCTCTGTCTATAAATGCTCCAGATAACTTTAAAGTGCAGACACCCCATTTTGAAACAGGCAAGTGTTCATTGTGAATCAAAATGGAGTCACCAAATTCGTGCTGCCTTCAGACAGCTCCTTTTTTCTGCGAGGCAACAAAGGAAAACGTGTTAGCACAGAAACGTCTCCCTTTAACATTTCTTTAAACTTGGGTAGCTTTGCAGGACAGCATACCTACACAAAGCCGCAGGTTTCTGAGACCCTGTAGAGCAAGCATCTTCTCGTGTAATTCATCCAGGGGCTGAGAAACTGCCGGGCTAATGAGCTCTCCTGCAGCCTCTTCCCCTGCAGGTGCTTCCCTAGCAGCACAATCTTAAATCAGACACCTCCATGGCAGACGTAACCCCCGAACAAACAGCAACCCCTCCCTCCCAAAGTGGCTTAAGAAAGCCACGGCAGCGCTAGCATCTGACTACGATGAAAGCACAACCTTCTTTTCCATTCAGTCAGTGGGAGCTGAATTAATTCCTCGGCTTCTTTACTGCTGAGAGCCATGTCTTGGGAATTCAGTATGTGAACATATTAATCTCTCTGATAGGCGATAATGCAATATATTACTGATGGGGGAGCCAGCACATAAGCACTGTGATAGTGACCCTGACCAGCAGATGACTGAGCGGGTAAGGAGAGAAGGAGCCGCTCTAGCTTGAAGGCACAGCCTCCACTTTGGCAGGCAGTCCTTCACTCTTGTCCCACTACTAATTTTCCGATGCATTACTTTGTCACTTGGGTATCCAGAAATGCTCATTAAGAAGGTTTGTGACAGCCTCTGATAATACATGTCTGTGGTAAAATAATTGATCCCTCTTTGCAGTGGTGATCTTTAACACTCGTAGGGCATGGTAGATTATTAGATGGAAGGCACTCTTTGATGGTCTCTAGAGTAATACGTTAGCAGACAGCAATGTGCCAACGATCTATCACGTACAAAATCATGTCATCCCTGGAAAAGGGCCTGGCAGAAGGGGTTAGGGGAGGAAGAAAGTTTAATTATATTGGTGGAAGAAAAGGTGTCCTGAGAAGAGTGGGCAGCCTGATTATTTATTGGATGCTCAAAAGCACTCAACGCAATCTAAGAAAAAGATGAGCCTCCGAGATATGGTGGTTCACATTAATGTTACAGGCACTAGCCTTGAAGTCAAGTTCATGCTGAAGAACAAAATTACCTCTTACAATATGTAGTTTACTTCTGAAAATGAAAAGGGCAAGAGATGTATTAGTAATGTTGGCATCAGTGGAGGCAGCTGTTTTTAGATATTTGGTATTTCAGGGATGTGAGTTTAGCATCGTTATTAGAAGTACAGCTTACTACATTCCTCTGCAAACTTTCCAACAGTGAGCAGATGGTTATCCTATTACCAGCCATTTGCATTTAACATATTGTAATGATTTATATACCACATGTCACCGAGCAAAGTGAAAACAGTCAGTGCCAACTAATTAGTTGAGTGTGAAGACGCATATCTCAACGTACAGATCCTTATTGTAATCAGATTTTATCTTTTTGGTTGTTAATAGGTTTAATGTGCAATGTAACAGAAATACTGATGTCAGTTAGACACGAGCCACGGTGTCCCTCCGTCATCAGGACAGCGCTGTTATCATCAACACTCACACTGGTACTCCTGTTATGCTGTTTTATGAGTGATGGGACAGGGAGGACAGATTATAACAATCCTTTGTGCTTCTCTACCCATCCTTCTTAAGTGTATTTCCAAGTACTTTATAAATCCTGGTACATCAGCTACTGGCTCATTTACAGCTCAATGCGTGCCTGCATAGGTGGAAGCGGGAATTGCGCATGGTAGAGAAGAAAGACGCTGCACAGCACATCTAAAGACAGAAATGGACTTAAGGGTGAAAATCAAGCAATTGAGAACTTGATCACAAGGTCTTCCAGGAGGTTTACAAGGAAGAAGCAGACCGCTATTGATATCTGCATAACCATCAAGTTGGGTGAAAGACTAAATGGTTCAAAGAGTGTAACTTCAGAAAAATGCTCTCCAGTGCTGGGATACCGGCACGTGTATGTACCGTGTGTATGTACTATGTGTGTTGCACTGTCCATAGAGTGTCCCAAGGCCTTCTCAGCCTTAAACCACAGCCTTAGGCAATGGGTTATCAGCCTCTTCCTGGAATGTTTTTGTTTGTTTTGAAGCTTATGTTAAAATAGTGGTCATCACCTGAGAAATGTCAAAATAATCATCAGTGAAGTAGAACTCTGTTACTCCTGAGTATGGCTGTATTAACAACATAAAGATCATACCAATGAGATATTTCCTTTTATTAATTGCTGCTGTTACTTGCCAGAAGTTGGGCTGTAGTGCTGAGTAAATAACCGGGTGCTGTTAGACTAAAACTCCAAAAGCTCCAAAAACTCCATGGACTGCAGTAATTAGAAGTCTGGTTTTAAGTGGTCTCTTATGGGAATGGTAGTACAACAAGACGTTCTCCAGCTCCTGCTCCCTCCTAATGTCATTAGGATGCCTTTTGCCTTTCAGCATCCTTTCATTTTTACCACATCCCACAAAGCTAACCAGAACACGGCCTGCTCTCCTGCAAAGGGCTGCAGCTCACATTATGCTTTCCTGATGCATCAGCAGCCAGACTTTCTCTTGGGAACTCTACCTGCAGTGTAACCCTTTGTCTCCTTTTCCCCTACCATACTGCTGCCTGCTAAATTCAGAGCTTTGCTTTTTACTTTTTCTTTTTTTTTTTTTTTTTTTCTTTTTTTCCCTGTAGCTCTGTTCATACTTTCGCATATCATGTTCTATGAAATCAGAATTACAGTGGTGTTAAAAACTTCCCGTGTTGTTCAGCCCAGTTAACAAGATGTTTTATCTGTTTTATTGAGGCTCTCTGGTGCTGACTCATTTGCATTACAGCCCTCAGAGATTGTGTAGGAATCACGATGATTCCCTTTGTGCACGGTTCACTGGTACTGCTGAGGTGCATTAATCCTGGAGAAGGACTCGAGAGCAAAGGAGAGGATGGGTGTTCACAGACCCCATGTAACAGTTCAGATGAACAAGACTACAAGCCCTTGGCCTTTATTATTAATTTTCCAGTCTTCTGAATAGGCGTCTCCGTGTGACTGCATCACCAGACTTCCCCTGAAATTAGCAGAACTGTCCTGCCTTATTAGCTAAAGATGGCAGAGAATGAAAAAAGAGGTCTGTTTTTTTTCCTTTTTCTTTTAAATAGAAGCCACGACAGCCTCCTCACTGGTGTCCTCTCCCTTTCTTTCCTTCTTTCTTTCCTCCCTTCCTTTCCTTCGCTTGTTTTCTCTCACTCCTCCTATGTGAAACTCATTGGAACTCATCGGGACCTACTCTAATAGTTTCAAACATTTCCCTAAATCACAGGTGAATGGTGTCTCATTTCTGACAACTAACAGAAGAGATTGGCAGAGAAACAGAAATATCACCTGTGTCAAGAAGAAGCACATGGTTATTCTGGGTTTAGCTACTACCTTCTGAGACATTTCATAAGCTGATCAGTGTCCAGGAAAAATCATCTCCTAAGCATGTGTAATTAAGTACAGAAATAGACAAAAATAACTGCAGGAAATCTCACCTTGGTGATACTGGCAGAAGGGAACAGAATGCTAAATTAAGCAACCAAACCAAAGCAAAAAAAAAAAAAACAAACACCAACCCAACAAATTGGTAGTTCCTGTTACTTGTGGAATAGTTGAAAAATGTAAAACTTTGAACATGGTGATATGTTGCAGCATTCCAGCTTTACGTTCAAGCTGAAGGACATCCCAGTGCCAGGGACCATTTGTATATGTGAGCCAGGAGATCTTTAAGCTTATTTCAGTGTTTGCATTAAATTGAAATCTTTTGAAATGAAAAGCTTAAAGGGAAGAAAGTTTGTGCAAGATTTTGGAATCGGCAAATTTATGCAGAAAGGCTCTTTGGATATCTTTTCAGCATACAAAGTAATACAGAAATAATTCTCATTTCTTTCATCAGGAGTTTCATCTCTACTTCTTTAATGTTCAATGGCAAAATGAATTATACTACAAAAAAAGCTTGGTTCCTCTCCTCAGACACACTGATTCTGCAGGATATGGGGCTTCCTTGAAAGACAGATGAGGGAGATCAGTACGGAAATACTTGACATCTTGCAAAACAGGCCAAAAAAAGATGATCAAATGCAAATGAGGAAAGGTGGTAAGTGAAATCTGGTGATTTAAATCCACTAGTTTCAAAAGTGTATAGCAGAGTTAAGGGCCTTGTCAGCCTTCCAGACTCTATTCCTCCACTCCCCTTCAGGTCACTACGAGACTGGGCTGATTGCCAGGACTTATGTCACCAAGATGGCAGGGGGAACCAAATATTATTTAATATTATTTGAACATGAGCAGGAGCAAAACCTTTCCTGGACACCGATACTGAGTAAACCATTGGAGACTGCTAATGTGTGAATAAACACAGTAACCATTTAATTATTTCAATTCCTGATGATCCAAGATTTGTTTACAGAAAGTGAAGGACCATTTTCCTTAGTGACATATCGCAGTAGATATATTAAAAAACCTAATTGCACTTGGGAGTTAAAGATAAATTGACATGCTCTTAAATATACAAGTTTCTTTTTCTTCCCTATTCTCTAATGAGTTTATAATTTAATTGGAGAAATTGCTAGATTCACTCCAAATACTAGTGGAAATCTCAAAGGAGAACAAGCTGCTTATGCAACTGTTCTTGTAAAACAAAGGAGTATTCAAGTACAGTAAGTATATACTTGAAACATGAATGGTATCTGGTTTGAGTAAAAAAAAACAAACCAAAACAAAGCTGAAAGCATGATGCTGACACATCTTCCTATGACGGTCTGGTTTTGAGCTGGGTGTTAATGAAAATGTTTTCGGTTATAGATAAAGCTAAAGCGCTGCTATGTATAATTGTTTCCACAGGGCAAAGGTCTGCTTTTGGGTACGTTACAGAAGGACATTCCTTCAGCATTATCTAAAGAGTGCCAGAAGAGTGCACTAGCTTGAACCCAACTGATCCATCCACAGAGGGGTGGCGTGGGACAGCCCCGGGCATGGGCTAAGGGTGGCCACAGGGGCAACGACAGCTTGGCCAGGGCACGAGGCCACGTGCCTGCAGGGAGCAGGCCCCTCCATCACAGGGGACTGCAGGGCAGGCTGACTAAACAGGCAAAAAAAACACAAATCAAAACAAAAAACAAGCCCTGAAGTAGCAAATATGCTTTCCCTGAGAGTAATTTGTTCCGATTCTGAGGCGGATTAAATTTAGAAGAGATAATGTGAGAGCAAGAAACTGTTAAAACTGAGGATATTTTTCACGTATGTACTGCGAGTTAGAGGTTTCTATTACTGCTGGAACTGCAAGCGTAGCTGAGACAGGGTCAGAAAACCCTGGAGCTTAAATACAGAAGCTTCAAGGCGAGAAGAGTATAAAAATAAATTCCGAAGGGCTTAATAACATTGTATAGAGGCTGGGTCTTCTGGTGTCAAAAAGAAACTGTTGGCTCTTAGATCAAAAACTAATCATGAAAGAACAATATGGGAGGAGATTTTTCTTTGGTTTAGCTAGCTACTCATTCTGTAACCCACTGGGGCATTTTTTTTTTAAACTGTCATCCCAAATCATAGGTAATTTATGGTGCATAAATGTGCACGTTATTGACAATGTAACAGTTAAACCAAAAATATTTTGGAATGAATGCGGTTAAACCGTTAGCAGCCTGATCCAAAATCTGCTAGGAATCTTTTGCCTGACTTCAAAGGAATTATTATCAGCATTTTAGTGAACTTCTCCTACAAAATGAAACGAGTGCTGTGCCTTGCAGCTTACTGTCAGCACTGTCCTTCGCATGGCAGCTGGGGTACGCGGCGCCTGCAGAACGTCGCCCCACGCAGTGAGAGGAGAGGAACCTTCCTGGGGTTGCCACACGGGGTGCCCTCCGAGTCTCTGCTGCGAGACGAGGCGAGGGGGGAAATGTCTACACGTTCCTAGTTTCCCATCCCAGAAGACTTTATTTATGCATTAGTCGACCTTTCTAGCCATTAGGCCCATCTTGCTTCAGCAGTTAATTAACACAAGTGCCATAATTTAATACAGTTAATGCTACTTGATGCCCTTTAATGTACCTTCCATTAGTGATATTATTGTAGTATTACCCTGTAAATTAAAATGAGATCAAGACTAAGAGAGGCTCTCTTTAATTAAGGTACTGGCACACTACATCGTCCATTATTCACTAGAAAAAATCACCCTGATTTAGTAAAGCAGACCATCAGTAAGTCAGAATTAGTTCACGTGGATTATTAGGTTTCTTGACTAATGTGAGCACAATGGGCTTGCTGAAATTGCTAACAGCCAGGTTTCCCTTTTCTCATCATCTTAATAAACACACAAAGAAAGTGGTAAATTGAAGATGAATAAACAAGTGGTAATAGAGGAGGTGAAGCCTTCGTCAAGAGCACACAGATTTTCATCTCTAATGCTGCATACATCAGGCTTATTTCACACCAAAGTGCAAAGCAATGACAAAACAAACCATATATTAACTGGGGCAAATCTCCTACCTTTAATTCATTGTGAAGTGTTAACTAACCCAGCATCTTGTACTTTAAATATGGCAGCTTTAAGGTAGATGTTTTTTACTGGCACTCATCCTTAAAATACAGTGTGAAAAAGTTAAATTTTATGCTTCCTTTAGAAATGTGCTATTATGAACTTTGGTGATTTTAACTATATTTAACCTACAGGTTATGTTTCTCCAGCAAAAGAACTAGCTTCAAAATGTGTCTGCTAGCACCACTCACCCACCACATCAAGCTCTTTGGCATCGTTTCTTTGTATTCCCTCCTTGTGGAATCCTGTCTGGTCCAGCTAATAAAGCACATAAATACCTATGTCTCAAAGCCTTGAATATGAACCACTGTGGCAAAAAATTATTATACCTTGGTTTCCAGTTAACATCCTAGATTAATGTGCAAGGGCTGGAAAATTCAGCTGAATCAGAAATGGGCACAAAACGTCCTATAACCCTTGCTCCCTCCCTTCAGTCACATTCCAGTGCCCACCGCTACTGCCCAGGGCACACCAGGGAGGGCACAGACTGCAATGCTGGTTTGGAGACTCTTCAGGGGGACCCTATAAAGTCTCTGGAAGGAGATCAAAAATAACCCAGACTGGCTGACAGTGGCCTACTGCACGTTGCCTTTGGTGCAAACAACTAATCAGAGCATGCGTACTTAGCAATAAGCAAACCCATAAATTATTTAATGAG